TGGTTAGGATCTTGACGCAGGAGTCTCAGATTGGACAGCCTGGGGCTAAGCTTGCGGCTACGAAGCCGAATCCTATATTGAATGGTCATCAAGAGTGGCTTGATAGCTTGGTCAATTTTACAAAGCAGAAACAGAGCACCTCAAGCTAGTTCAATCAGTGGCTAAGAGCTTATCATAGCCACATAAAGCTTGGTGCCAGGAGTTGCCGCTAGATTGTGTTGTACTTATTACTATCCCTACTTCCAGTATATTTTGGTGGAAAGCGTTGCCAGTGTGCACCATCACTATCGGTTCCTGGACACCATGCGACATTGGCTCGTTATACTATGATCCATCGTTGTCGCACGCCTGATTCTTATCAACCTTTCGAGTTATTGCGCCACGTTTTCCATGGGCATTAAGTGCAACTACAATGTAGGTGATTTCTAGTCAGTAGCTCAATTTTTATATATCAAGGCCTTGGATAATCGCGATATTTGCCAACATCAAACAGAAGTGGGGGTTTTCGGATTTGCCGAGATTGTATCAGAGATCGGCAGAAACGGTCACTCATGGAGGCATAGCTCCGTTCAAGGTTGCATGCATGGATCTACACAAACAGAAGGAGGTTAGGCCTCGCCGACGATGGCACGCGATCAGGATAATCATTCAATGTCTCATTATTTCGGCGTTATTATTATACATAAGCTATCTTGACGCGTTGATGTGCAAGCAAAGGCGGTCCAAGGAGGTTTGATCTAGGTGCTCTAAGCCATTTGATCAACACCTATTTGTGTGCTGGGGCTTGCTCAACGGTCTCAACAGTAGCCTGATCGGCCTTGGCCAACCGGTCGAGGACGTGATCGTCGACAGACTCGTGGAAGACATCGACCTTGGTGGTAGCGAACTTTCGAGCGCTGACACCCTTCTCGAACAGAACACCCAACTCAGCAAAGGTTCGGCCATTGGGCTCGGGCAGGCGGAAGTAGGTGTAGACGACGCAGAGGAAGCAGATGCCACCCTATTGAGCATGTTAGATTGGGGATCCAGTGAGGAAATGGTTCCGAGACTTACCCAGAAGAAACCGGTATAGTTGCTCCAGTTCCAAGCGGTGGGGTTGAGCATGTAAGGAGCCAGAACAGCGTTGACAATACCGACAATGCCACTGTGATTGGTTAGTTACGTGTGCTTTTGGTACCTATTTGTAGGTCAAACTTACTAAAAGATACGACCGAGAGCGACAGTCTTAATCTGAAGACGTCGAGAGGGAAGCTCAGAGACAAGGGAGTAAGCTACAGAGCCGACAGTGAGCTGGTACACAACAGCCCAGCCAATCATTAGACTTCCAGTAGCAAGAGCACCCTTCTGGCGATCAGCCTCAGGGACGAGACCAAGGAAGCCAAGAACGCACAAGACAGTGCAGAGACCGCACAATCCGTAAAGGTAGAGGCTTCGACGACCGATTCCGAAGGACATCAGACCCCAGGCACCAAAGACACCAATCATGTTGATGGCATATTGTCCAAGAGCAAAGGAGTAGGCGTGCTCAGCAGACATACCGGCTTGCTCAAGGAAGTAGGTCGAGTAGTTGGAAAAGGAGTTGCCGCTGAGGTTCTGCATGGCCCAAACCATACAGACGATTTCTGTTCGTCGACGGTTGACGCCCTTGAAACAGTCAATATAGGAGCTTCCTTCAGTCAGCTTCTCCTCGAGAGCAGTTGTATGAACCATCATAGCAACAGTCTCGTCAGCATCGAAATCAGTCTCACGGTTGAGGCTTGTAAGTCGGAGAAGACTCTTCTTGGCATCAGCGACACGGCCCTTGCGAACAAGCCACCAAGGAGACTCGGGAGCAAGCCACAAGCCCACCATCAAAGGCACAGGCCAGATCCACTGCAGACCATAGGGGATTCTATAAGCCCACTCGTCGGTTCGGCCGATCATAGATCTCAAGATTCCAATGCCGATTTCCTGTCCGAGACCCCAGCAAAAGTTGACGTATGTGGTGAGATAACCTCGGAGGGCGATGGGGCAGACTTCGGAGGCGTAGGTGACGCAGATGGTCTGGAAGATACCCCATGGCAGACCGCAGAGGATTTCGGCGGCGAGGAGCATCTGGACGTTTTGTGCGGTGAAGAAAAGGGTGATGCAGCCGCAGAGCCAGATCATGCAGCCGATGATGGTGTATCGATAACCGAAGCGCTCTGAGAGCCAACCGTTGAGGAAGAGACCGATGATGGAACCGACGTTGGCACCCTGTGGCGGTTAGCTTTTGTCAATTGGCGGGGACCTTTTATGGCGCATACATTACTCAGGCCGGCTTGCCATGCTGCTGAGACCTGATATGTTCCATCAGGCTGGAGTTGACCGTACTTCTTGTTCCACTGAGGGAAAGCATCTGAGCAATAGTGGTTAGACCAAGTCGCGCGATATTGTGCGCGGCAACTCACAGAAGTTGTTGACAAGGACAATGTCGAATCCTTCCATGACAATGCAAGTCGAGATGAGGATACTCCACGCGACAGCCTTGGGATACAGCTTGATGCCCTGCATGAGGGTCATGTTCTGCTCCTTGTTGGCCGCCGAGCGCGCATGGTCGATAACATCGGGATGGGTCTTGCTGGGGTCAGAGGCATCGATGTGAGCCTCTGGGGCAGCAGCCGAGACCTTTTCGTCCGACATGATTCAACGGAGCGAAATGTCGATGATGAACAAGAAAAGAGAGAAAAGATGTGTGAGAGAGATGCGGGGAAGTGTGATCTGGGGAAAGATGGAGAATATGGGCAACCGCCCCAATATTTCTATTAAATGCTGGGGGGAAAGATGGAGAGGTGATCGGCCAGGTTTCCGGAGGGAGAAGCGGGCTAAGAAGTTTGCCTAGCCTTGGGCGTGCGGGACAGTTGCCTGAATGGTGTTAGCTTGGAGTGGAAGATGGAGGGGGAGGATGGCAATCGTCGGCTTGGGTTGCGTGCAGAGACGGCAGAGTCTTTATGTTTGCTTTGGTGAATGAGTAGAATGTTCTCTGGGACTATCTCTCCAATGTCGTTCCCAGTTTCGTATCAGTCCATGGCCCAATTCACCGCCAGATGGCACCACAGAATCTTGGAGAAAGTCGTCTCCCACTTCTGGTACGTAATCTCGCCCAATTTCTCCGCAACGCAGTCCCAATTCTGGGGGTGGGGTATCCTCACGTGTCATTGACCAACGAGAAACAACGTTATGACAATCTCTCATGCTAATAAAGCGGGTCGGAATGCTCTCGAAGAGACTCAGCCAATCTCAGTGTCTCCATCTCCAAAAAAGCAGGGATGTTTTTCGCTCGGCCAATTCCCGCTGTATTTCGACGCCCGTTGCACAAACCGTTTCAATTGAGTTAAGCTTGGCCGCTTGGGCTCTTTCGTGACTCGTGATTTATTGTTAGGGAGATTTGAACGGTGAGAAGTCCGTGGTTGAGAAGTCCGTTGGATGGTCTAGATCCAGAGGGATGGTTCAGATTTCCCCGCGATTTCATCTGCCGGAGCCGAAAATGACGAATGATAGCTTTGTTGAAACATTGTTGCGACGGCGGGATGCCTGTCGTGGATTGTCTATTGAAGCTTAGCTATCGTTTGTTCATCTCAATTGGCTGCCCCTCTGTTCGGTTCATCGGCCGATCAATATAGCTGCAACCCATCACCAGCACGTGGTAATTGATCTAGATCAAGTTGGCAGGCTGATGTCCATCGCAGGCCACAAGAGGGGATATCGTAGGCACAATCAACGCTGGCGATCTCCGTTTGACAACACGCTATCATTGGTGTGTCGTATCGGGCCGACTCTGTTGGCCAGCGCGCTAGCTTACCCTGAACTTGTTTGCTGTTTGCTTCTGCAATTGATCTTTCCATCTCAAGCATAGAAGACAATGGAACAAATAACATCTGACGATTTCGTAGATTTATTTTTACCAGATTGCACGTATACCACAGAGAAGACCGCAACAGGAACGCTAATGTAAAGCTTTATCTTCAAGGTAAAATGCGCGACCGGTAAAAACGAAAGGGAAGATCAACCGGGTAGATATAGTTTAACCTTCAGAACGATCAAGTAGAGGAATATGTATTTTAGAAGCCGCAATATAGTATCTGTACCTTATCTTTACTAAAGTCTATAGAATTCTCATAGAGCCTTAGAGTCCATAACCAAGGTCTATGAATTCCAGCCTCTAGTGGCCCCACATGACGATTGCTGATAGGTCAATGGAGCAAAACATCCGGGAGGTCAAGACTTCTCCCTTCTTGGTTTAGGGTCAGATCACACCCGAGATAATCGAGATAACGTAAAGAGCAATGAGGGACAGCTCTGCTGCTTGAGCCAAACCAAACAATGACAAGAAACTGTATTCTGTACATTAGATTATTTGTCTCTCGTTGTTCGTCCTATTTGTGTTTTCGATATTGCGTTCTCAATAAGCTGTGACTTTGTCTGCTTGTTAGCGCTTGGTCGGGGGGACAATAGCACTGAAGCCAATCAATCTGATTGACAGGAAGTTGTCAATCTAGAACAGGCAGAACACAGACTTTGCTCGTCACAAGAGTTGCAAGCATATTCATTCAACCTCATCGCAACCTCAATGCCAAACAATTGAAATGCATGACAGAGTCAACAAATTCCGCCCCTTGCGCTAAGCGAAAAAGATCTCTAATTGAGTTTAGATCAGATTGATAACCCACTACCCCAACCAATCAAACACCCACCCACCATTCTCCAACTTCCGGTATCGGCAGAATTTCCTCACCAAGTGGAATTTCACTCTGGGGCCACGAGAAGAAATTACTCTACAAAATCCCAATAAAGCTCAATGATGTGAGTTATATCGTAAAAATGCTCCGCTTCTGTGGTCTTGGCAGTTGAAGTCGGAGGCGTTACTGCTGAAATGGAGAAAATTTCACATCGTGACAAGATGCACCTCTCGGAGTTACTTTCCTTTATTTCTTGATATCTGGAAGGTGAACACGAGCTCGATTATCTGATTAATTGTTGCTATGATTGGTACCGAGAAGGTCGATGACCAGGAGGGTCAGGTGTTTGCTGGGGAAGTTCATGATGATCCTGGTCATGCTCACGATGCTGTTTTCGGAAGACTCACTAATGACGGGCCAAATTACCGCAACGTGAGTCCGCTCTGCCTCATGACTATCCAATTTATTAATGGCATGTGTAGGTCGGTTGGGTGGGAACAGCAGGTCTGATGATGAAGACGCAGCTTGGCCTTGGAATCTTGTCCATCCCGTCTGTGTTTGACACGCTGGGCATGATACCCGGCCTCATCTGCCTTTGCGTTATCGCTGCAATTACGACGTGGTCCGATTACATAGTTGGCACCTTTAAGCTGAGGCATCGTGAAGTGTACGGTATTGATGATGCGGGTGGCTTGATGTTTGGCCGTGCTGGGCAGGAAATCTTTGGCTTTGCTTTTGGTCTCTGTGAGTCAAGGCCGCCCGTTTTTGAAGACAGGATGGTTGAACTTTGACTGACACCTTGGGGCTTAGACTGGACGTTTGTGTGCGGATCGGCAATGCTGAGCGTATCAATTGGTTTCAATGCCGTTTCGAACCACGGAACCTGTACCGCCGTCTTTGTCGCTGTTGCAGCTGTTACTGGCTTCATCTTTGCCAGCATCCGAACCCTCGGGAAACTAAGTTGGCTCGCCTGGCTAGGATTGATCTGCATCATCTCTTCAGGTTAGTACATGCCTGCACCTCTGCCTTGACAATAACCTTCTAAAGTCTCAAACACAGTCATCATCCTCACAATTGCCGTGGGTATACAAGATCGACCTGCAGCTGCACCAAAAGACGCAGTCTGGGTATCCGATTACAAACTCTTTAAAAACCCAAGCTTCACCAACGCCATGTCTGCCATCTGTGCATTGATCTTTGCTTATGCAGGTACCCCAGCCTTTTTCAGCATTGCTGCAGAAATGAGGGATCCTAGACACTATACGAGATCTCTGATCTTGTGCCAGACAGTCATTAGTGCCTGTTATATCGCGATCGGCTGTGTGGTGTACTATTTCTGTGGCTCGTATGTTGCTTCGCCAGCGCTTGGGTCTGCAGGTGTCTTGATCAAGAGAGTCAGTTATGGAATCGCATTGCCTGGACTGATAGTAACTACTATGTTGACTTGCCATGTGAGTACTTACCTTGCATTCGTCCGTGAGATGTTGCTAATACTGCGAGTGTTATAGCTGGCAAGTAAGCATGTCTTTGTACGTGTCTTGCGAGGCTCCGAGCATCTAGCGGCCAATACCTTTACCCACTGGGCATCTTGGATAGGATGTACTTTCGGCATCACAATCGTTGCATATGTGATAGCCAGTGGAATCCCAATCTTCGGTGGGCTTGTTTCTCTTATCGGGGCGTTGCTTGCCACGTCACTCTCATTCCAGCCTATGGGATGTATGTGGCTCTACGATAACTGGAAGCGTGGAAAGCAAGATCGCTCAATCTCTTGGTCCGTCGGAGTGATCTGGAGCCTCACCATTATCGTTTTGGGGATCTTCTTGACCATTGCTGGAACATATGCTTCCGTAGTCGACATTATAGCCTCATACAAAGTATCTGGAGGCTCAGCGGCGTGGTCCTGTGCTGACAACTCTGGCTCTTCGTAGTTGTCATGTGCAGAGACTTGAGTTGCTGCGCCGTTGTCCTTTTAGCGACATGTCGAAATGCAGATAACTACTGAACGCTACGGCTGGTTGACTTTTCCCAATGAAAACACACGACTGTCAGCAATACTACCCCTACCAGTATAACATAAGACGGAATTCCGACAGGAGATACAGTAATGGCCAGCCTGTGGGGTCAGCAGCTTCACGGCATTGGATTGTTGCCCTTGATTACTTATCGTTTACCAGGGTTGTTGCAAGATTGTGGCTTAGAATAAGCATAAATTGAGTCAGCTGCCCTCCAAGGTTTAGCTTACAATACAGCAACCAATACATGCGCCCTGTCAAATAGGAATCAGGACACTGCGCCTGCTTGCCAAGTCCAAAATACATGAAATTACAAACATCAAATCGAGGCCCTTGTTCTGGAGGCCTTTTTGCCTCTGTGTGAAGATAAAGAGGCGCTATAGCGGCCATTGAACAAGACGATGAAAGTAATCCTTTTGACCGCAACAGTAGCAAATATCTAACTCAACATGTATGCCCCCATCATCGTCCTTCTCACCGCTTTCGGCGCTTATGCGGCTGCTCAAACCCCAACCCAAACCACAGCACCAACCATAACCGCTTCATGCCCATCTTTCACGACACCATCATGCTTGGCGCTCATAGACTCCCTATCAATCACCTGCGCTCCCGCACCTCCCATGGACATGTCTGAACTTGGCGTATCCTTTGCCCTCGGAAGTCTCTATAACACCCAAGATCCTTGCAAACTTCCTATCATTACTGGATCGTCAGCCGAGGAGTTCTCAGAGTGGGCTTCTGAGTGGACGAGCTGGCAGGCGGAGTATGTTTCCGAATATCGCGTTGTATGGGAGGCGTGCAGTGATGATCCTGCCATCACTGATCTTGTGCCAGTTGGACCAGATGCATGTAGCACTCTGAAAGCTAAAATCACTGGGACTTCTGCTGTAAATGAGAATAAAGACCAAGATGGAGAGAAAGACGACGGTAGTAAAGGTGATGAGCCGGAGGCTGTGGATGGTGCTGCGGGTTCTCGTGTGACAGGCTCTTTAGTGGTTGCATTGATGGCTGGTGGTGTCCTGATTGCAGGATTATGGTGAGCAGTTTTGAAGATATCATAGATCCTATGTCAAGTGGCAAGTAATATTTAACAAACCTGCAACAGACGGGAGACATTAGCATGGCTTTATTGAAGATAGCCAAACTACAACTGGGTTTACGTAGCACCTCCGAGCAACTATTAATTTATTAAAAGTTTCAGTAAGTCAACTGTACAGGTTTCGAAATCCCGATACTCTAGACCTAGTACGTCCTACGATGGTGCTGTAACATTCAATACAGCTCTTGATCTGATCTGAAGCTTCAGAAAAAGATTATATGTCTAAAGATGTCTGTGGAATATGATTCGCGGCTTATAACAAGCGGGCGTTCGGCTCGGTATTTTCACACCACATTAAGAGGGATGTCCGGCTCAAGATACACCCCAGTCCACTCCTCGTCACACAGAACGTATGCCAAGTCCTCTTATGCTCGCTCCTTCGGATACATCGAGGGAGTCACCTCAAGCAAGTGAGGCCTGGCTTAATAACAGCATCATGGCTGATAGAGCTGGCGGTTTTGGCATTCTAGACGAAATAGGAATGAGTCTCAGCCTCGATGATTTTCTTACTGCTGCTGAGAATCATGATGGTCTATGGGGCACTTCGTTTAGTCCTGGGGCAAGCGATCTATTGGTGCAAAGCACTTTGAACCTAAGCATAGACCTTGCAAAACTGGACTTTAGCCAGATACTAGATAGCTTCCTTTAAAATACGATTTCAAGTATGTTTCTGGTCACCAGTAGGCAAGCAATAATGCAGAGAAGCTTTGTGGATTATCGGTCTGATGTACTAAAAATCCCGACTTGTGCGTACAGGACTGGGAAGGATCTCGATGTCGATGACAAGCCAACGTCAAACTGTGCTCATAATATTGGATTTCAATCTCGAAGGGGAAAGGATATGCATTTAGTATAGCAGCTGAAAAGAGATCTGTTCCACTAACTGCCGAGCCGTCTTGTGCCGTGTCGTTGAACGTCACAATCTCCGCATGCTAAGTTGATGGACCAATAGGAAACCAACACGGTTCAGGGCCAGCTGCACCATATTGTCAAAATGGTTAGATGAGGAAATCTTTCACCTGAAGCTGTACAGCTAGCTTCACCTATGACGCATCTTACACTAATGCATTGTTGTGAGTAAGATAGAACTAATACTTTATGAAAATGTATAATGTGTATTCTGGGTACAGCATAAACATTTAGCAAGTATATAAGTCTAGTTAAATTGCTTAATTATTAGAATATATCTCCCAAGACATTTCACTACTACTTATAAATATCCTCCTTATTGCTTACTTTCTACCTCGTCTGCCTATCTCCACGCACGCCATATTCCAAAATGGGTATTAAAATCAGCGAAAAGTTTGTCAATGATCTAACCACCAAGCTTATCAAGGCCGCCGATGGGGGTAAAAGCCTGGAGGTTGCCGACCCCGAAGAGGTTGGGCAATATGTCTGCTCCGTCCTGGCGTTGGGTTGTGAACTCATTCCTGTTATTGGGAGCAGCCTCGGCGCGCTTGTCACCCTGTTTGGAAGTATATTCTTCCACCCGAATGCAACTGAGAAGATGTGGGAGAAGCTGAGAGATCGCATCGAGGCACTTGTTGATACCAAAATCGCAGAAACTCAGATGGTCATTCTTAGGAAGAAGATCCGAGGGTTTCGCGACAACATGGAGAACTATAAACGGGTCTGGGAAGACTACAGGGATTCAACGGGTGAGGAACAGTTGAGAGCAAGGGACACGCTTAAAACAACTCATATCGGCTTTTTGATCGTGGTCAGGACTGCCATTCCCGAGTTTCGGGTGGAACAATTTGACGTACCTTCTCTTCCGTTATTTGCTCTTGCAGCCAATATCCACCTCATGCTACTATCCGATGGCATCAGACATGGCAAAGCCTGGGGCTACTCGGAAAAGAACATCAACACCATGCGTGCCGAGTTCAAGAAGAAAACGTCGCCTCAGGGTGTTGCGGTACATGCAGCAAGCATCGCCTCGGAACAGAGCCATCTACTCAAAGGAGCTATTGCCACAGCCATCGACCAGGAAATGCCAACGAATGTAGTCGATACTTGGAAAGGCGCATATTCAGACCTTGCTGTTTATGCATCGGGATCCGCCGGGAATGGGGAGGGCTACGATGATCTCGACTATGTGACATACGCCTACAAAGTCTATCGCAAGGGGCGAGGAAAGGTCAAGGCTTACAAGGCGGAACTCAATGACGCCGACAACAGAGGAAGCGCAGCTGCAGCCAAGCTTAGGGCCTACGCAGACTACGACTCCAGCATGATCATGAATGTACTCAACTACGCCGAGTACTGGCCATATCTGGCTGGAGACGAGATGCCAGAGTCTGTCTTGAGAAAATTGGATCGAGAGATCTACTTTGGCCCGTTTGGCCGTCATACGCTTAATGCGACATGGAGCGAGTCCAGTGAATCTCCTGTCACCGACCGTGGTCCTCCCATTACTTCCGCGTACGTGAGGGGATGGGATGACATTGATGGATTGCAGATGAAATACGGAAACTCCTGGGGTCATGCTTATGGATCGACTACTGGGGGTGCGCCCAAACAACTTGACCTCGCCGAGGACGAATATTTCTACTGGGTAAGCGTCTACTACGGACAAAAGCTAGGAAAGGTCAGGTTCTGGAACAATAAGGACAAGGCTTTGGAATGTGGCAGTGGAAAGCATGGATCGTACTATGGCTGTGCTGCACCACCAGGCTACAGGTTGACAAGTGTCCATATTACGAAGTGGGAAAGCTTCACTCCGCCAGGCTGTGAGGGTATCATCTTGGGCTTCAGACCATCCATCATTGAGTTTACACCTAATTAAAACGCTGGAATTTTATGTAGTGGATAGAATGCCGACTGCCCTAGCTCGGATTGAAATAGCAAATGGTTTTCAGCTGGAACCAAACACATAGACGGATTCAGTCCAATATGTATATTAATAGCTATAAAGAAATTATTAACAGCTACCGTAACGTATGGAGTCTATGCAGCCTGGCTGAACGCAATTATGAACAAGGAAATACAGGAATTGATAAAATGCAGAACAAAGGCAATAGACTCAAATAGAGTCCAACCAATCAGGTCATTATTAACAGACAAACAGACAAAGGTATTGAAAGAAAGTAGTTATTATTGTTCTTTAATAATTGCTATTCTGGGAACATTACCAAGAAATCAATTCTGTTCGCCTGGAGTCCATAGTGTTACGCCCCGATAAAATGATAATAAAGACATAGATTACTTTGTAATATATATGCTTGGACTTCTTCCTTCTATGCGTAACTGTCAGACACCTACACAAACAGAAACAGCAAAGAACTATCATAAGACATATATTATACAGCAGTATCACTACCAAGAAGCACTAAAAATGGATCCTATATACCGCGAAAAGTTGGCATATTCACTGGGTAAATTTCTCGATGAAACGTACCGTGGAGAAGGCCGTGCTTATAACAGTGTCCATGTCAACGTCCCGGTAGACCTCGACCATAAAGACATTAAAGAAACCCTCGAGGCTCTGGACCCCGAGGACTTCTTGAGTCAGGTAATCCGATATTATCAACATTGCAGTTTGGACCCAAAATCTCATCAAGATGAGAATAGACTTATCGAGATCAAAGAGCGTCTAGACGAGAAATACGGAGAATTCCTTCTGGAAAACAATTTGTTAAAGTATACAGCCCAGAAGAACTGGCTTGAAGAAGCGATCAAGATTCCAACCCATGGATCAAGCCGACGCCGCGGGTGGAGATATTGGCATGAACGTGACAAACCTACAACTGAAGTACCCGACGAGAAACCACGAGCTCAGCTCAAATACACAATCGACAGGGAAATGGAAGAGTTAACTGGTGTCCAGCAACAATCTCGCCCAAAGGACATGGAGCTGCTTACATTCTGCCCTGGTACAATCGAGCGCAGCTTTTCACTTCTCAAGCCCTTTGACTACACGGAGCGATATTCTCTTCAATATATTCTCCTCCGCAAATACTCGGGAGACAAAAACATGACACACATGAAGGCAGACCGAGAGGCACGGATTCGCCTTGAGGACTATAAGGCGGAACACTTTGAGAGGATGTGTGAGGAATCGAGACAGTTGAGCCAGTGGGAAGAGCGCGAAAAGGTGAGAGACTGGAAATACTGGAAAGAGATAGAGCACAACCCCGACGATTTCATTTCTGAAGATGATTTAAGTTCTGAAGATGATTGGCCTGAAGAGCTCGAGCCTGAGGAAGAAGGGTACCAGGACAATGAATCTGAAGGTGGAGAATCCGAAGGTGAAGCATCTGAAGATGATGGGTCTGAAAGCGATGAGTCTGAGGGTGATGGAGCTTCCAGCTCGGCTGGTATGGATATAGATCTGCCAGAACCCACCAGTGAAGATCTCGCTACTCAGATCTCAGTGCTTCAGATTTCTGGCAAGAAATCAAACGGCGAAGCTGGCGGAGTGACAAAGACGGCCAAGAAGCGTCCTTTCGAGGACAGCGACGACACTGACGATGCAGTCGCGCCTGGATATAAGCGCGCGAAGGTGGAAGATAACGCAGTCGCGTCTGGTTATAAGCCCGAGAAGGTGGAAAATTGGCGAAAACGCTTTGATAAGTATGGATGGATAGAAGCTCGATTACTGGACTGAAGTTAGAGAGGAGACCGGAATGACTAAAAGGTAAGTCTTTATGTTTTTGTTCAAGAATATAAACAAGAGTAAATAGTATTAGTTATCTCTTGATATCTGCAATAATAATACTCAAGCTCTCCGGATAAGTCTTTTCGTAACCCTGAAAAAATGTATACAACCTCTTTAAATACCAGTATTCTATTCCTAGCGCTCTATAGTGCAATGCCACTGAAAGCAACTTGGAATTCAATGCAAGACCAATACCACCTAGTCCTTGACTAATTACAATACCTAGGCGTTTAAAAGAGTCTCTACCTCCTCTGTGATATCTCTTAAGGGGAAAGATGTCCTGTTGCCAGGGAGGGTTCCATTAATAGCATCGCCAAAGAACTCAGTAACAGCATAGATGCTATCAGAGATCTGCACGGATGCAACAGTAAATCCGCCCTGGCTGAGGTAAGGATTAGGGATGGTTCCGAGATTCTCAGCAGACTTCCACTTTCCATTGCTGGATCGCAAGACTACAGTGCCGTTGGTGTTGTCGCTGACCAGGAGAACAGTACCAGCGTAGAGTGAGGGTAAATGCAAGCCGTCGAGGTTCTGACCCAAGGCCTTGTTGTCTTTGGATGTTGGAACACGAACTGGTTTGCCCTTTGATGCTTTGATATCGAATTTGTAAAGCTGACCATCTGTGTTGTCGGTCACAAAGAGCGTGTCGCCTTTGCGGGAGATTCCCGAGAAGCCGTGGATGGTATGATTGGCTGGTTCAACGAGATACCATGGGACGACCGACTTTCCATCTGCGCTGACTTTGATCAGACTGCTGGGAAAGGTTCCGAGAACAAAAGTGTTGCCTTCGTCGTCGCTTTCGCTATCCTGAAAACCGCCGTATACACCACCGGTCGCATTGGTGAGGTTCGCACGCCACAGCAAAGAGTTGTCTACAAGGTCGAACTTGACAAGCAAGTTGTCGCCCTCAATATTCTGGCCACCGGTATCAAAGGCAGCGCCGGCGTCGATGACAACAGAGAGTCGGTCCAGGGTGTCAACACGTACGCCACTTGAATGGAGCAGAGGGTTGCCACTGAGTCCAGGAGCTTCAAAAGTATGCACTATCTTGCCTCGGTAGGGATCCCAGGCGACAGCAGTTGCATTGTACAAGACGCTATAGTGAATGTCAGGGCTTTATCCCAAATGGTAAAGAAGGCTCATGGGTACTAACCTCGAGTATACAAGACAGCGGCGTGTATCGAAGTCAACATTCTCGGGGTACAGCTGATAAGCATCAATCGTCTTGTTGCCAGAAATTGATGGACAGGTGTAAGGCCGAGGGATTGAGATTGCGAGGCTAGCCTGAACGGCCAGGCTGAGAAGAGATATCTTGGATTGCATGGTGATTGCTGGGCTTTTGAATTGTCGACTCAAGATTTACGATGAGATTTGATTGATGGTGTTGTTGGTGAACTGTTTTCGAGGCGGAATGCAACATCGTACTTATACATTCAAGTCTGCAGGGTTCATCGGATATTTTAATATGCTGTGAATCAGCCCCAATTGCTTTTACGTATGTTTCGTCATGCTTGCGGCTATGCCGCCATTGGATTGAACTTTATTATGACAAAGATAGCCGGTGGGATAGTAATGCAACAGCGCAAAGCAAGAGCTTGGACCCAACATGAAAGGAACATGCCGTAAATGAAGACCCACTGAGTGGGATACACAGTGGGATACAGTCTGCTCTTCAAGTGCCGATTGATTGGATTTGAGATTCTCTTGCACGTGATATCCCACTCAATATCCCACTCGGGTTCATCACATGGAAATAAGAACATAATTGCGAAACTCAAGGCGGACAAAGCTTAATTACTCTGAGTAATTATCCTTAGTATGCTCACTAGTAGTCGGTTTCTGTTATAATAGAGTCCCACTCCTGCATTGTTTCCAAAACATCCCTGGCTTTAGCCTCAATCTCTTCAACTGCATCTTTCCCAACAGGAAGACGAAACGGAATGGTTCTGCCCTGTGCGCAACCCTCCTGCCTAACCAGGTCCAGTACAATCTTGACAAACTTTTCTGGGTTTCCAGGCTGCTTCAAGTCTCCACCATGAAGATGATTGTGGTGAGTCTCGGAAGCGGATTCGTAATCGGGAATTTGACTCTGCTTTGGCTGAAGATGGCCTGTTGACAAGAGAGGTGTTCGAAAGCGTCCGGGCTCCATCAAGAGGGTGCGAAGACCGAGAGACTTGGTCTCGTTATGCAGACTTTCAACAACACCTGATTTTGCTGTTAGCACTGAAATAAAACATGTCACCGACAGATATCGGATAACCGACCTTCAAGAGCAAATTTTGATCCAGCATAAGCTCCAGTAAACTGGTGCCCGATCCAGCCAGACAAAGAACTGATAAAGACCATAGTTCCTGACTTTCTAGCTCTCATATGCGGAAGCACTGCACGCGTAACTTTAATTGGCCCGAAGACGTTGGTTTCGAAGGAGGAAACAAATTCGTTGTAACTAGACATGTTAGCAAGGTCGATGATTTCATTGATTAGGAAGAGCAATACCTAAGATCCTCCCAAGAGCCAGCAGCTACGAAACCAGCATTGTTCACCAATACATCGATGCGTCCATAGATAGCAATGGCATTAGCGATGATTTGATCAATGCTGTCTTGTGAATCCGTGACATCAAGCTCAAGAACAGCTGCTCCTTGACTTGCTAGTGACTCGATCCTTGCACTGTTTCGAGCGGTTGCGATGACTTTGTCCCCACGTGACAGTATCTGATGCACAAACTCTGATCCAAAGCCGGAGGAGCAGCCGGTGACAAGCCAAATGAGCTGAGACATGTTGATCAACAGAACAAATTTTATTGATGAACGACTGAAGATGATAAATAGAAAGGGCTGCTGAGGGATAAGACAATTTCTGATGGCAGACATAAAACGAACATGACAGGAGATGCTGCGCTTTTTATAACCATTTAATGCCTTGAGTAAAGAATTTGGCATTATGATGCTTTGGCTTACAACGGCCAGAGAGTGGAGCTGCCCATACTCGGGCACGCGGGAATGTCAGCGTTGGGGCGGACAGAGCGGAAGCGGGGCTTGAACTGGCTGTAGACCTCAGGGTAAGCAAAGCGGGCAGAGCGGGAATGCAAAGTCATTGCGGACACACAGAAAAATACTATTGAACTGTTGAAACTTCTATCGGCCCTTTCATCCTTGTAATGATGTCAGTTATGCGCCTTGCTCCCCTCTAAGTATGACAAATATTCATCTGCGTGAGATTCATCAGTTGCCAATTTCGGATTTAGCAAGGTGATCAAGACACTTACGGCAGACAAACCACTCGGCCTTTAGAACTTGAAGTGCATCGATGATGGCTCCCAGACCTGCTACCATCTCCGCGTCATTATTCTCTCTGACAAACCACGCGCACTCTGTCGCTGCGTGATACAAGCAACCAGCCAAGATAGGTGAATGTCTAGGCCCCTTGGATTGCTGTTGACTCGCCGAAACTATTTGCCTTGCCATCTGCGGAATTGTCTTGGATACAATCTCTTGGATACTCGCTAAAGATATCTGTTGCATCTCAACCTCAGTAGCCAATCTCTCGCGTGCCGTGGTGAAGCTGGGCTCGTTGCAAGCATATTCATTGTACAGGAGAAGTCGAGCCAAACTGCACAGTGATAACGCCGAATGCAAGGTTCCATGCGCCGTCATAATGTCAAAGTCGTTGTTAATGATCCCGTGATCCAACGCTACCAAGACAACGTGTAACTGCAAGGCCTCGGCAGTAAGTTCGACTGGGTCGGTATCTTTTTCTCTGGCTTTTATGTGACGAAGAACTTTGCCAAACATATGAACCGCCTGGCATACTCTTGCAAATTGCCCCACAGACGAGGGCGAGTGGAAGTTACGCGTAAATAATGCTTCGTTGAAACCTATTCGCCCATTCGTCCAGTCATCGTCGTTGCAAGGTAGAAGATCATTCGTGCTCGGATCTGGAGCAGCCATCAAGAGTTGTGGGGATCCTGCAACAACAACTCTAGTGATAGTCAATGATTAACCTTTCATGACACATGAGTCTGTACATACCTGTCAAGCATGACAATCGCCCACCAAGTACGTCTCTGCTCCTCACATAACGTCCATGTCTCGGGTTCCACGAACAGTTGTTTTGCATCCTTTGGGCTATGTAGTCGAACCATGGTTGCCAGCCGCACAGCTTGTCCTATCGTTAAATATGCAGCAGGGTAGATACGATGGCCAAGCTCGTACAAGGCTACCAGGGTGAGAGTCTGTATTAGTCGAATGTTGATGGTTCCCCCACTCTCAGCCGTAAAACTGCCATGCTTTGCTTTTAAATATGAAGGGTTACTATGCGGTAATATGGTATGCTCATCACTCTGACTAATGAGAGCCTCAAGGGCCAAGAAGACCAGAACATCAACAACGCCTCGAGTTGAGTCTGCTAGGGCCTCTGCATCTTGCTTCAGGCGCTTGATACTGAGCATGGGTAGCCAGTGGTGGATAGTACACTCATAGTGTTCTATCAAGGAATCGAACGTACCAGCAGCCGTAAAGCGTTTTTGTTGTTCGAGGAAAAATGGGCCGTCCTGAATTGTCAATATGTCTCGCGATATCGGCTGGAAGAAATCGGAGTCTAAGAAGTATGAGGACGGGAAATTGTTTGTTCGGTGCAGGTCTAGTTCGGCAGTAGGATCTGTGCGGTCTTGACCCCCCAAGCCCTTGGTGGAGGTTCCCAACCCCGAAATAGCTTGCTGTGTTCCATAGATGCATGCTTTACCTAGTCGAGTACACTAAACAAAGATCTGAGACTTGAAAGCCCAAGCGGACAAAGGGAGGTACTTACCAGACGACATGATGGGGTATCTCTTGAGCATCTACGCTTCAGACGTCTGACAGCCAGTTAGTTGTAACTTGGGAGGTGACTGACTACGGCGAAGACATACCTACATGCCTCGCACGATGTGAAAGCATTGGCTGGTGGCATATTGGATATTGAGCTAATGGACACAAAGGCGGAAATTATGCCAGGGTGAGAGTCATTAGTTGTGGAATGTGAGAGCGGTGCGGGGTTTGTAAAAATGTGATTGGCTATGATTGTGCAAGCTTGAGAGTACGGAGACCCATAAAGCTAGTATGTGTAAATTTGAATATACGCTCTGATTCTCTATAGTTTTATCATGGGCTTAGCCTACTCTAAGCAATTTAGATCTTGTCTTGAGCTTCAGCCCATTTTCGTCCATTCTCCTCTAGAGGAACATGCCCCATACGGGCAGAGTTGAAATAGACTTTTCCTTTCCGCATCCTGTATATTGAAACTTCGGAGGTGATGCTGGTGGTGGAACACCTCAAAACGAAAATCTACTTGGCACAGGTGATGTCGATGGGTCCACCGGTCTCGAAACTATTGCTGGGACTTCTTGTGATAGACTAGGTCCCAGGATCTGTACAGATCCGTCGTTGGTAGGGGAAAAGATGGTTGAAGATGCAGCCGAGAGTGAGGTCAGACGGGTCACATCGCGTATTTTGTCGCCAACCTCCTGTTAGAGTTTGAAGACGTGGCAATCATTAAGTTAGAAATTATATCAAACAGAGGTATTCTATTCTCTACTACTATATTTATTTACATTCACATTTCAATTCAACGTCGAGAAAGTATAGCATTATAACTTAGAGCCACTGTAGTCCTAGTACATAATGATCAAGCCCCCTCTTCCAAGCTACACTCACACTAAATATTACCGGGTGTGTATCGACCAACATCACCACCACCTCCTGGCCACGAGCCAGTAAATCCATCCTGTGACACAATATTAGTTCCGTCTGCAAGATGCAGAGTCGTCCATGCATCTTTGGAGCAAAGACCAAATGCTTGTAGGTTTCTGGGGGTTTCGGAAATCCAGTGCATGTAGTCTGGGAATACAAATATTAGCGTCCTATCGACAACAAATTCACACTGAGCCGACTTACTTTGGCATTGGTAGGCGCCAGCGCAGGGCTGATAGCCCGGGCCACTGAAGAAGGCCCACGAAGCTGAAGCATATGTGTAGATGTCGGATCCCCCCTGGATAAAGTTGGCAAATCCCATTCGGCAACGGGTATCACCACCGCTGCACCAGGAAAAGTCTGGGTCGCCCCAGTTCGTGATATCTGCAACCCATGGCTCTGGGGGAGTTTGCTGGACATGGTCGCCCTGGTCGTAGTTTGTCTCGGACTGTAGTAACGTGATGAGGACGTTGCTGGCTTGGTGAAGATTGAGCTGATATAGCCACCAGTGCTCACTGCCCAGCGCATGGAGCCATGTGCCTTTTGTTGATGCAACGAGGGCGCCACCTTTCGCTGCGATATTGGATCCTCCGGCGAAGCTTTCAGTGATGTGGTCTGCCACCCAGTTCCACACATTCTCGACATATGCAGACGAGTCTGGTGCAAAGTACATGCCGAGAAAAGCAGCCTGGCATTCACTACTAGGGTCATGACATGTGTTGGTTAAGGTAGATGCTCCACGGGTGCCGCCAACAGTGATCAGCGAGTTCCAGAGACCAACGTCACCCGGAGATGTCCCCCGCATATTGAACTGAAGAATAATGGCTCTTGGAAGGACATCTGAGACGGTGAATCGCATATCTTGGATCTGAGCGAGGCCGACGTCACCGGGGTTCCCGACAGCAACAATAGGCTTTGGATTAGACAAATCTTTGAAGAAGGCTCCATTGCCTGTGATTGTGGACCAGGCCTCCCCAATAATCCGAGAACCTACTGGAACAAGGAGGGTAGAGTCAACTCGATACTTGCCGAATGGGAAATAGGCGATCTTGTTGTTGTCGGCTGCATACTGCAAGATCCGATTGAGAACAGCCGACTCGTCGATAGTGTTGTCACCAAGCACTGTATGACCTCCATTCTGGGACGGATCTTTTACATTAATGAAGTCTGCGGTGGGGTTCGAGGCATAGTTGGGCGCAGGCACCACAGGGAAGCGGCCACCTGGTGCCAGAGCGGCTGGACGGGTGTTAGTTGAGCTTGTAGCGCCATAGATAGGATCTCGCCCGACAGTGTTGGCGTAGGTAAAGGTATCAACATGGCTTTGAGCACCGAGGACGGTGCCTCCAGGGACTTGTGCAATGTCCGAGTCGGTGTCCTTACTGAGGTTCTCAATCATGAATGAAGGAAACACAGTCGTGACGAAGGTGACTCCAGAGTTGACAGACTTGGCGTCGATCAGAGCAATCCAGGGGGAACCACCAGTATTCCTCACGGCGGTCCCGCAAGTATCAAATATAGGGGCGACGATGCTGATCGTGTTCCCTCCCGTAATGAGCATGCCAACGGTGTTCTGGTAAAAGTAAATGCTCTTGTAAAGTGCTTGCTGGTGCCCATCGTGCCAGATGCCGTTCTAATTTTGACGACATTAGTAAACGTTGGGCAATGTTACGTAGCAAAGGCCCGATGTACCTGTCCACGCTCGATGCGCACATCGGAAAGACCCAAGGTGGATCCTCGCCCAAGGCGAATTCCAGTATGGCCACTACCCCCGACTGCTGAGGCCATGGTGATCTTGATGTTCTGAAGCTGAGCGCCCTGTGCAACGCCCCACCAGAGCGCCGTAAACGTGTCGCCTTGGTAAATCAGCCTGAAGCGCAATTAAAGTAAGGACGCAATTAGCTACACTTACCTCCAGGGATAGCTGTTGTGTCGAGAATGAGATTCTTCAGGCCAACAGCAAACGACAGCTCTCCAGCATCACCAGTTGTAGGATCCTGGCCTGTCGCAATGTCAATCTTGATTGCCATGAGTCATTACGAAACAGGTACCTGAGACAAGGGTCCGATCTCCTGAGAAGGTCGCCGAAGCTTTGATAATTGGTGGCTAATAGAGATCCACAAGTTAGCATACATTATCGCGACGTTGAGGAAAAGAAACTTACATTGGTGGCATCTCCCATTAACACAGTATCGGTATTCATTCGAATCGTCTCAGTGATTTCGTATGTCCCCGGGGGAATATAGACAACCTGGTAGATGCGTTACTAAGTCTCAGCTCAATAACCTTTCATTTCAACTTACTCGTGGCTGAGAGGCTAGCCATTGACCATGACGGGCCTTCCCATTATCATCATTGATGGCGGCTTGGATAGCAGCCCCATCTCCAGGCTGTATAACTTTGTAAACTGCGTATGTGTTATCACCATCAAGGTCGGGTGCATAACCACGATACTGCCCCGTGTGATCCATATTGGCATACCAGAAACTGGTTGCCCCTTCCGTGGTTCTGCCAATAGCGGGACCGCTTGGCATAGGCGAACTTGCTACTGTACTCAGTAGGAGTAGTGTAACAGTTGTGCCAACTTTCATTTTCATGGTCTCGGATGTCGTACCAAAGGCTGAGTTTGAATGTCTGTAATGAAGGTTGGCTTTCTATCAATGCCCTAGGCCATGCCAGAATACTTATGCAACTAAACTAGCACATGTGCACATGATGCTATAAGAACCTGAACCAGACGATGCCACCGGTGAAGCCGAAAATAAGCAGCCCGAAAACCCCTGCTGCATGCTTCCTATCCCGCTTATTTTGCCTGCAACGACGCATTATGACAAGAACAATATAGAAAAGAAAGAGAAGATAAGGCCAACGCTCGATGAAACGGCAGGACAGTAAATCTGACAATCATTGTGAGAATAAACCAGCTGCATTAGTTATATATAACGTGGTGCACCCTAATTGGCATTGAATTATTGTGGCTGAATAGTCGGTAACGGATTTAACTGGTGGGCCTTATTCAATCCAAAGTTTTACAAGATAGCCTAAGCCTTATTTGAACAGGATTTTGTGTGGGTACAGGGCCATCTGAAGAATGTAACATTAAGATGCAGTAAGACGGGCGTCAGCATAATACGAGAATTCAGCCCTCAAAACGATTACCATGCGTTCTTGGATAATCATCACTCGGTTATAGTTACTACAGACTCTTGTAAGAATCATACGATGGCTTACTTTGACCCCCTACACCCTGGCTGCAAGGTTCCCTTCTGAACAGAGGGCATGTTAATAACCAAAATCTCACGTCTGAGAGACTACAAGTAAGGTAAGCCTGGTTTTTGTATACCTTGTGTTGTCAGTCTTGTCGACTGCGGCTGCTGACACCAGGCAAGCCACTGATAACACCCAGTTCAAATCTACAGCAGTCACTTGGAGTGCCGGTGTTGGGATCACGCTACCTATGCTTGGAAAAGCAGTCAAAGCGAAACTTGGAGTCTCTGTAGAGAATACCAAGGGGCTCGGGGTTGGCGTTGGCTGCCACGGTGATCATTCCTGGTCCGGTACGCATGCCATATACTTCCAAGAGAAGATGGGCTGGGGCAATCTGAAGATTACAGAGACCTTCACCACGACTGGCGGGCCACAATGGTTAGTTGTTCCTTTCATGCCATGGGATGGAAATTGTTAACACATTCAATAGCCCACGCAGAATCAACACTAGGACTTCATTCGGTACATCAAGTTGGCCAGACCCAGATAACACAGGCTTCCGACAGTTTCAGCCTGGGTGTAGGGATCCCCAGAATGGTAATGGACCCTGGTGTGACTTCTTTGCAGACAATCTTCAACATACTCAGTAAAGACAGCATCACAATATAGACTCAACACTCTATTGTTACTATAGCTTCAGTAATACAAGGTTATATCTAAAGAAGATCTATATTAAGAAACTATTGAATTGAAATTGAGGCAATTGTAGTAACAACTGGAAGACAGTGAACAAGGTGCGGGACCCTAGTAACGGGTAAGCTGAAAGCATTAAGGCTAGACCTTAACATTTCAAGACCCCCACTCCCCGCGGCAGGCCTCGAGTTCAGCATCTTTAGTAGCCCCTTTAGGGCTGCAGGGAAATGTCAGTCAACTAATGTCCATTGTCGGGAAACTTCCACTCATTTCATCATGAAAAACTAGAACTGACTCAGACTGTGTACAGAATCATTTTATCATGAGGCAAGATATAGTATACAGGTAAAAGCTCTCTTCCTATTTATATACCGGCACGTACTGCCTTCTAACATAGTCCCATACGAGGTTTTCCTCATCACTATCATCCTCATCAGTTTCATCATCATCCTCACACTCCTCATCATCTTCGCCGCTCTCATCTTTTTCCTCAACTTGTTTATGATCGTCATCACTGGTACTCCCATCAACTTCAAACTCAATTGGTCCTGCGAGAAATTTCGTCCCGCTTTCTCGTCTCCGGGAAGGCCCAGCCGCTATAGTTTCTTTAAGACGTGAGGCAGACCTGTCCAATTGAGTAGTCAAACCGAGGGAGAGTTGGGCTTCACGCCGTGCTTTTATTCGTGCGCTTCGACGCACTGAGCTCGGTGAAGTTGAAGATACCGAAATGGGACCCGCATGCCTGTTGGAGGTCGGCGTCACTCTCTCATTCAGGTTCAAGGACATCATCCTTTCGATAGTACGTTCCAGTTGTTTAGTAGGTGACTCGTCAGCTTCGGGGCTCTGCTGCCGACTCCTTGACTCCATTTCCTCCTCTCGAAATGCCACTGCTGCTCGCTGGGCTTCCAAGAAGGTTTTGGAGTAAAGGTACTCCCAATGGTCGATATATTTGGCTATTGTGGGCCTGAACTCTGTAACGGCCCAGGTGTATATGTTCTTCAGCATAAATCGGAACTGAGCAATATCATGAGAGTTTCTCATATCGCCATCCCAAATACATTGCATCATCTAACCGGAGTCCGGAACGGCCAGCACAGTTCAGCTTCAGACTTCTTGTTCTATACTAACATAGCCTTTGCCAGTTTCCTGCTTCTCTTTCACCGTGTCGTAACGACATGCGAGGGAATTCTCGGTATAATACGTTATCCAGACTTTAACTTCAGGCCCAACTGTAGTCACGGCTGGGACTGGGGGGATATGCGCCAGGCCAAGCAAATTCGTCTCATATAATGCGGCAATCTCGTTGAGTCTGACAGCACAACCGCTGCCGTTAACGGCTTGACTGTAGGCCACCTCTCTCAATCGCGTGATGGCACCGTTTGTGCCTGGTTTCGGCTTGGACTCAATAACGAGCCAAGGAAAGCACTTCAGGTGCTTCTCTTTAAAGCTCTTCTCGAAAGGATGGAAGGGAGATGGTCGTAAGCCATGTGTGTAAAGGTCTTTCAAGGCCGGCAATGAGAACAGCGCCGATTCTTGGCGCGGCTCCAGAGCTAGAAGAGAGTTGGCGGGTGGCCGATTGATTGGAAAATAGAAAGCATAGTCAGGCTGTGGTGCGCTCTCATTTTTCAATCTATCGGGAATTGCACTGCCAAGTCCGTCATTCTTTGGATTGAATACTACCCATCGAGCATTGGAGGAGCTGATTGTATCCTGTAAGTCTCAAGTCTTGAACATTTCGACCTCTCTGAAACTACTTACCAAACTATATGGTTATCACATGAGCTCTCAGACGCCAAGATGCTTTCTTCAAGCAGTTTAAAGAAGTTGTCTCGAAAAAAGTGTTCCCAATCTTTTTCTTCAACTTTCCTGTTGGTAAGGTCCGTTCCTTGGTTTGCGACTTTTTTATCCTTGTCAGAAGCCTTCTGGTTCAACTCATCGCAAGTGAAGTCAAGAATCGACCCTCGGAGCGCTTCGACATGATCTGGCAGGTCATTTGCTGAGTTTCCGTCATTATAGAAAAAGCCACGGTCGAATAAGTTACGGCGTTTAAAGTAATCTTTTTTGTTAAAGGTTGGTTCCATATCGATCATATCGATCATATCGATTAGCTAGTAAAGAGGCTCAGGCTTTGAATCAATAGAGAGAATTTGGAACTGCAAAGAATATGGAGAGGTCTGGTTCGGAGTAGAGGAAGGGAGTGTTGGTCGAGGACTCTTCCCCTCCATATATGCATGACGAGGTTCCGTCTGTTGGTTGTGATGTCTACATCCCTGCTTGGTGTGTCTCAGAATGCCTGTCCGGTGGTCAGCCCACCTCGCCAAGATGGAGACCAACTCAGATATTAGTTCTAGAGACGTGGGGATTTTCTAATGTTTTAATATATACACATTAGATTTTGAATTGATACCATATCCAGTGTAACACCCTTTATCCTCAGATGCCACGAAGTTGACGCTGAAGACCATACATCTCTGCAGAATCACCTCTAATCTGCCTTGCCGGGGCTCCGGATAACTCAGGCAGTAGTGGATTCAGCTGAAAGCCAGGATAGCTCACATGGCCAACCAGAGACCACTGGCTCTTGGAGGCTAAGCCTGAAGGGTAAGGTCCACAAATCTAATGGAGTTGGGGGAAGTAGTTACCCGGCTACCCCGATATCATTTAGAGGTCCAAGTGCAAGCCAGATGGGCAAGGCAGCAGAGTCACATAATCGGTCAAGTTTGGAAAAGATATGTTAGGTGAATCTTGATGTGTTCTGACATGCCATACTCTGTACCTGGCCAGAATTGTATTGGCATTACGCCGTTTGACACTGCGAGCAACATTTTTTCTTAATATTTTACCTGTGCTTTAGTTTCCCCTAGGCCTGTATATATAATTATTTCTTAAAAACCTTGATCGGAAACTTTGTTCCCATCAACTTGTACGCCGCAGGGTTGGGATGGAGACCATCGCCAGAGTCATACTGAGGGAGCAGCTTCTCTCCGCTTCCGATCAAAGACGCAAAGTCGACAGTGTGGTCAAAAGTCCCGTTTTTCAAGATCCAGTCGTTGATCGCGACCCGAGTGACTTCTCTCTCGGGAGAGTGGTACTGGTTTCCAAGCATTTGCGTGATTGTCGCTCCAATGGTAGTCATGCCTGCCTTCTTGATATCGTTCGCAATCTGGATATAGGCGGCGATGAGACCATCTTTGATCCTCTTTTGAGTAGCCTCATCGGTTGCGGATGGTCCAATGTCGTTTACACCTTCGAATACGACGACGAATTTGGCACCTGGTTGTTCCAAGGCATCTCGCTTATACCGTTGGAGCAGGATAGGACCCAGACCGCCTGAGAGGATAGCATTGCCACCTGCTGCCATGTTGTTCACAGCGACATTAGACATGCCAGACTCTTGCAAATGAGCCGCAAGAGCATCGGACCATCTAAACTTGTTAACAAGAGGACCAAGTGATCAAATATTGATTCCACTTACCGATCGTTTGTGTCGTCCGTACTTCCGCGGCCATCGGTGATGCTATCTCCGAGGAGAACAACAGCGAAGTGGTCCTTGGGCGCCCACGAGTCAACCCCGTTCGCAAAATACCAATGCTTGGTGCTTCCCTGAGATACAGATGCAGCATTGACGTGGTTGCCTTTTTGCATCCAAGAAGTCGTTCGACTGCCAGGATGTCCAGTAATCTTGTTTCCAAGCTGACCCTTCTCAGTGTAGACAGACAATGCGAGGTTGGACAGAGGCTTCAGCTTGAAGTCGATGGGATCGGAGTACACAATCTCTCCTGCTGGGACAGACACGGACTTCTTGCCCTTGAACTTGACCTGCTTCGTGGTCTTGGTGTCGATCTGACCAACACCAGCCTTTCCACCGACTGGTAGAGCGATTGATGCTGCAGTGATGGGCAGGTCTGTTTTGCCAAAGATGTTGGAAAATCGAATACGGATCTTGTCAGCTCCAATGGACATGTGGAATGTCTGGCGCAGAGTAGTGTTTTCGAATTGAGCTGCTGCATCTGCTCCTCCCTGTCACGAAGTCATTCATCAGCATTTGAGGGCCTTGTAAGATAGCCTCACGTGTGTTTAATGATAACGTACAAACGGAGCTGGGGCCAAGTTTGCAGGCTCAACTTCCTGAGGCATTGACGTCCAGGTGCCTACCCAGTGGCGTTTGTCATTGCCATTGGGTAATGCCGAGCCTGAGAAAACCAGGCAGGCTACTAGAAGAGCCTTTGTCTTGATTCTGTCGAACATATCGGTAAACAAGACTTCAGTTCCAACTGGTAGCAAAAACTACTGTTTACGAAAAATGAATTCTTAAACGATATCACAACGGTCTTATACAGTCATGGCACAAGGTCACGGCAGAAAGTGCTATTAGGCTAAACCAGGGATCAGCATCTGAAACTCTATTTTGCCGGTACGGGCCAATGGCAGTTGGCTCCAATTGATGGACTTGGTGCCTCCGAAATACCGTATGGAGCTTGGCCTGATATGCTTACCCAGTCAAGCACCCACTGGTCTCCACTGAATATCGTGTCAAGTTGATCGCCCATGGATCGCTTCTGGAAAAACACTACCGCACCAATAAGAACTATTGATGGGGTCGCAATATCTCATGATGTCTGGGGAAAAGTCATAACCCCAGAAAGTTCCACTCTAAACTGTGCTACCCGGGGACCTTGGCATGAGCTCGATCTCAGCAGGGAAGTCCGTCGATGACGATAGTAAAGAGAGTCTTGATGTGAATGGGTACCGGGGAGAGGAATTTCTAGTACAAGAACAATCGCTGCGCAATGTTGGCATCGAAGATCGTAATGATCTGAACTCGACAGCGAGAATAACCAGAAGCGTGATTACAATCCAAAAAATAATGAAAATCCACCACTTATAAAACGAGTCCGGCAAAATGCCTGGTTGCATACTGAATATACCAGTAACAGCCGTGAGCGGCAGAAAGACCTACGGGAAGTTAGCATTTTACCCTATAGAAACAGACTGCATATACGTACCAAGCCAATGCCAGTCCAATATCTCGTCATCTCAGTCCCTGCTTGCTGTCGGGCCGTGACTTCATTATCCTCCACTACAATCTGCATTTCCAGCTGTTTCCGTAAGCCTTTCCGCGTAGGTTCGCCTCCTCTCGTCGTCTCCCCTCACATACCTTTCGGGCAAGCCCTGTGCACAAGTCTCTCTGTTCCTCTGCGCGTCGTTGGAGGTCTCGCAACGCATCGATATGATCCTCAATCATGGTAACGACCTTGACCGATGGGATTGGGCTCTTCTTAGAATCAGACTTTAGTATGTCTGAGAGGTAGGCAAGATCTCTTCTGCTGAATTTATCCCAAACCTCAATCGCCTTGCAGATAGAGTGGATAGTTTGTGGTAGAAAGCAGTTTGCTTCGTTGAGGACTCTTTGCATCAACTTCTTTTGGTCCATCGTATTGATAATACCCTCACCGAAAGAAGTTGCCATATCCCCTTCATCCTGTGTCTAAGTTTGAAGTAAGTGGTCCATTCATGACACTTTACAGGCTCGGGATCACTTACATATGGCTCTAATCTTAAATGTAATCTTGCGATCAGGTTGTGCATAGCATGCCTGACTTGTTTGAGTCGGCACTCGTAGACGATGAGGAAATACTCTCTCGGGGTCCAGATAGGGAGATTTGCATCAAAAAGCCCCCCTGTCAAGGGATCTGGCTTGACGCCATGCTGTTCATCTTGCGCAAGCGGCTTTTCTCCTTGGTAGTATGTATCAACAAACTGATATGCAACCCAGGAGTCCTCATCTATACCTGCTATCAGGCAGGAGACCTGGGTTTCATAGATATGAACCTGCGGCTCATTTTCATCGCCCAGTCTGAGGTAGTAGGGCTGTCGACTTTGGCGCAGAGGCTTTCCGTTCCGTTTCTTCCTAGAGTCATGGAACTGCGGCCCGCCTTCACACCAGACGTAGAATTGTAGATGGAATTCAAGTCCAAAGATGAGTGGTCCCCGCATCGGTCGATGTATACCTAGTGACGTTCTGGACCCCAGGTACTTATAAAAGAAGTCTGCTAGAAACGTGGCTTGAACGTTGGAAGCAGTTGAAGCCAACGCCACAATCACCCAGCAATCTGGATTAGCCACATAGCTGGAGATAAGAGTCAGCAGATGCAAGAATCGCACGATAGTGGAAAATGCCTCACAGTAGTCGCCTTGCAGCATCAGTCTCACCAATGCATCCGTAGCGCTAGAATTGTCATAATTAGTCATGAATCCAAATGGTCAGATTTCTATGGCTTACACTCTTCTTCAATTCTTGTAATAGCTGCGAGGAACTTAAAGACCCACGGTCACGGCGCATATGGCCACCTGGTGGTTCAGAATGATGCATCCGCCGACATCTGTCATCCAGCAGAGCCATGGGCCGAGCCACACGAGGGTCAGTTCCGCTTAGCAGAGTGTCGATACTGCATGACTTGCAGAGGGGCTCAAGCTCCAACATTTGGTATGTGCTAGGCCCGAGGAATGTCTCCATGTCACCAGATGCCGAAAGAAACTTCTTAATGAGATCGTAAACGCCTGAGAAGGTCGCTACTGCAGGTGTGTTTTCTGCTGGATATTTTTGAATCTGTCGGTCGAAGAACTCTTGGTTCCACGCATAAGCTGAAGAGTTTATGCCGGCCATACTGACAGGCTCTGTTGGCATATTTATGCTGTCGGATGTTTTGTAACTTAAATGTATGTACAGTTTGGGCAACGAGGGGTTTGGCACTCTGGGCAGATTGGGTTGACATCGAGACGCATCCAGCCGTGGCAGCAATTACACTATGCGGGAGTCAGATGTGTAGAGAGTATGAGGCTTTTGATGTACGCACACATTGCCACATGGATACAACCTGTTTGATTGGAGGCAATAATCCAGGCTGCTATCTATAGGTCAGTAATTTGTGCAAGTGTAAAGAATGGCAGGCGTACCATTACAACATTTTCGGCATCCCGGGTAGCTTCTAGGTGTCGCGTGGTTGTAGGATGAGGAGAAACGGCGGACAAAGCACCCGTCTTTTGAAGTGTCCGGGAGCACATGGTGGCAGCGATGCAGTGAGAAATATAGGGCTGTATTATTATAATGAGCAATAATGCTGAGGCGGGCGGTGGTGGCGATGTTGATGATCTTTGAAAATTGATGCGTGATTTGCACTTCTGCCTAATGCATCAGCTGTCGAATTACAATTAGCGTAACCACTCATTCCTCTTTAGTTGCATTCCTCTGATAATCTCTTCCGGTCTTGCATATAGTAATAGTGATGCATTTAAACAATACATTGTCTCCGATTCGATCCTCATTTGTTCGCGGCCTCTTCATCTTGCTGATATCATGCATCAGGGTAAGCTGACAAAGCTGGGCAAGAATATGACAGTAAACTGGAACATATTCAATGAAATGTTTGACAAAGGTTACCAGGTCCTGCCGCCTGGGTCCTCCAGGCCATCAAGCATAAAAGATGAGTCGGTGCTCATAATATACTCATACGCATCCACGAATCCGAAATTAAAATTGTCGCCAAAGCCGATTCCACCTGAGCCGTCGGGTGCATTTCCATGGGTTTCTACAGATTGACGGTACCCTATCAGCCCGATATTTGAACTACCTTCCCCGCCTGCGGGGACCTCCGTGCCAGAGATAGGCGCAAGGGTTTGAGGTATACCAGCTTCATTTAATGAATGAGACTTTCGACTCTGCGCCTTTTGTCTCTGGTGGTGTACAGACCGCAGGACGGCATCAAACATGACTGATGCCCCCAAGCGGCCAGTGACAAGAAGGCCCCTCGGGAGTGAGTACTTGGGGTCATTTTCGCCAGAGTCTTCGATCATGTTACCGCGCGCAACTTCTATCAACCGTTGAATGATCTCAGCAGCACGTGTGCGATCTGGATGTAACGGTTCCATTCTGGAAATCGCGTGTGCATCTGCAAGGCGTGACATAGCAAGGGTTATATCCTGCGGTGTTAGACTCGAATGTGAGAGAAGAACGCGAAAAATAAATGTGGCGGCGAAGAACATATAGCTGATTTGCGTCTTTGGCCAGAACGCTGCACTGCAAGTATTCTTGTCTGAACCTTGATTAGGTTGATCATAGATTTGCTGGAGCATATCTGATATCATTGTCGAAGCACACATTAATCCACTGATCAATACCGCGTCCCGATTAGAGGCCGCTTGCTGAGCTATGACGGGGTCCTTTGGGGGAGGCAATAGAAGTGTCATGGCATATAAGTATAGTTTTGTGCCCTGTAAAGTGAGTTCAGTCTCGGGACTCCAGGGTTTTTGGTCTGACCTTCTCAGTAGCTCCAACTCGCTGATGCTGCTTTGTGTCTGGGAAAAGTGAAGTGCGGAGTCTGTGACCATGTCGAGCTTGGCCATCGAAGTCAAGCTGAGCCGACGAATTTCTAATATCATGTGGCCTGACGGGCCCAGAAGCTTTAATGCTCGGTCTCGAGCACGGGATATGCAGCTTAGATGGTATTTGGACGAGAATGAGGACGGAAATCCCAAGAACTCGCTAAGTCTGTGGCAATGTTACTGTGTAAGCAGCGAATCTCATATACTTTGTACGGGGAAGCTGCCGAAAGAACACATACCGAGTGCTTATGTCAAAGCAGGCAAGCCAAGTAGTATCCCTGACAGCAGCGTCTATGTTTGGCACGGCGCGGCGGCTAGAATTTCTCTTCAACTGTGCATTGAGGAGCGGGTTTGATGGCAGGTGACAGTTGAGCCCCATGGCTGAGTTCACAACAAGACCTATATACCCCCATGATAAGTCTTGCCAAAGGCGGACTTTGGGGACTGGCCATAAGCAAAGGCAAAGGAGAGCATGCATCATCTCGATAGTGAGTGGGGCACAGACAAAGATCGCCGAGAGCATGGTCTCGTGCTCTGTTACAATAGAGGGATACATGTGTGCGTTTTTCGGATGCATTTGGGAAGAACAGAGGATAATGGTCCAGAAAAGATGCCGAGAGGATTGTGAGTACTCGGTTAAAGACGTACGTATGGGTCTCAAGAACTTGGCGTGCGGACGGTAGTACCTATCAAAGCTGGTGTTTGACTCAGTTCGGTTCTTACATAGACATCAATTCGTCTTCGGGGCATGTTTATACTGACTGTTGAAAGAGCTCTAGTGCCACTGTATTGTTCACGCTCAGACTTCCAAGCTGGTAACTAGAGGGTATGTCGACAGCTTTAAGCTGCAGCCAGGCCTCACCGCCCCCGGCAAATTCGTCGACACCAATTGCGATATCATCTTGAGTGGTGCCGGCACTGTAAGTAGAGTATTGAGAGTCGGTATGAGAGGAAGGACTAGAGGGCCGTGTGCAGGCCGAGGACGGCAGGTCGGGTGCTTGTGACAGTGTCGACTGGTTTGTATGAGAATGCGCTCCCGCGTTTGTTGAATCGCTGAAAAGTGGCTGCTGGGGATCAATGCAGTTGGTGATGGCCTCCACGATACTGCGAGTATGAGTATTAGGGTCTCTACCAATGACGGAACCCGTGGTGCTGTACTAACTTTCTTGTTGGAATTCTTTTGAAATGCGAATCGAACCGACATTGAAGTCCGCGCTTGCTACACCTCGTGCACAATGCTCCGGCAGGTTTGTGGCGGGCATCACAGGCCAGCTTAGCCTGGCGACATGCAGTGCAGCTCTTTGCGCGGCTAGGTCTTGGATGCATAGTGGCAACGAAGGGCTCGAACGAGAGGTGCCAAATCGCTGAACCCAAACTGGTCAACAGGCTCGTCTACGGCAGACTGAGACAAGAGGAACAAAAGTCCGGTGTAGATGGCATTGGCTCTTGGTCCGAGACCACGACTGAAGTCCGAACTGCGAAATTCGCAGTTCAAGACAGTCTTGGCAGATGAGCTCCGAAGAAATGCGGGGCTGATAAGGTGGTGCTTACGGCCTATGGCCAGTCCAGTGGGATGTCAAGATTTGTCTGCTTTGTAAGACGCTAAGCCCACAAGATAAGCCGATGGTTTGCGTGTAATTGTGACATTGACACCTATGGAAGGGCTAGAATGTCGCACTTCGCGCGATCCTGAGCCTTGAGTGTTCAGGAGGTCGGCATAAAAAAATTGCGAAATTCGCAGTTTCGGCTACACCACTTGTGGTCCCATCGATGAACGTCTAGGAGAAAAGATCCCAGCTTATCAGCTTACGTTCTCATTACAATGACGAGTATATAAAGTGACAGTTAAAGCCCAGCCGTCAGATCTCATCGCCCAATTAGTCCTTTTCTCTGTTCCAGGACTCAACCAACGCAGCATGTCATCAGAACAAGACATACGCAAGGGTTGCCACTCTTACATATCGGGCACCCATACTTCATATGGCTACGTTCCATCCACCGCTGCAGGAATTGTCTTCTGTATCTTGTTTGGTCTCTCTACCATTATGCACATAATTCAGCTTGGTCGATCTAGGATCTGGTGGTGCAGCGTCTTTGTTATGGGTGGATTGGGTATGTTCTTAACCGCTATAACTCTAACTATGACCTTTATTAATGGCTATAATAGTTGAAATCATAGGCTGGGTGGGCCGAGCTTGGTCCTCCCAATGCCCGTACAACTCGACCGCGTTCCTCATGCAGCTCTCGACACTGATCATTGGTATGTACTCCAACCATTATCTGGTCAGCCCCTCTTGACTCCTAAATAAATGACTGATCATTGGTAGCGCCTGTTTTCTTCACTGCCGGTGTCTACATTATTCTTGGCCGCTTGATCCAGGTCTTTGGCCGCGACTGCTCCATTCTTCGACCGAGCCTATATCTTTGGATATTCTGTACTTGCGACGTGATTTCCCTGTTTGTACAGGCAATTGGTGGCGGTATGGCCTCAGCGGCAGTGAAAAAGGTCAACGGTAATACAGAGCCGGGCACAAACACCATGGTTGCAGGAATAGTCTTCCAATTGGCTTCCATGAGCCTCTTTGTTGGTCTTGCAACCGACTTTCTGATTCGATTAACTCGACGGGGCATGTTAAATGCTGGAAAGAAGTCCTCCATTCCTATACTAAGTGCCATGACGCTGTCATTGCTTTGCATTTATCTGAGGAGCATATACCGAACTATAGAACTTTTGCAGGGCTGGACGGGATACCTTGTTACGCATGAACGGTACTTCATCGCGCTTGATGGGGCCATGATGGTAATCGCCGTTGGAGCTTTTAACTTTATACACCCCGCTATCTTCTTGCATTCATCGTTTGCAGAGGATACTGGGGAGTGGCTGGAGATAACACGAAGATCTGAGTCGAGAAAATAGAGCTTACGAATTTCTCTTATAACTATTTAGCTATATCTGTAGCTTCTAATTCTTATCTCCCTTAACACTTTCGTGGAAGCGTCTGTAAGTGTTCTTTGCATGCTTAATGTTCTTCCTTGATCGTTCCCGAGTGTCCTTAGTCCTTCTTTCAATCCATTGGTTCCTGTCTTGCACAAAAGCCTCCTTTCAGTCCTGGTGCTGCTGAGTCATAGCCTTCCTTTTCGGATCCAGCGATCCCGTATTGGGCGGTTCTTGGTATTACACTAACATATAGACTGCTCTTAAGCACTAAGTCTATTTCTTCTCCATTTCCCTGCCATACGCCACTGAACCCAGACCAGAGGTGAGAATAAAACAGCGATGCCCGTAAGCACGAGGCATGCGTTGCGAATCTTGAGTTTAGCGATCATAGGCTGTATCACGCTGACGCCCACAGCGCCGAGGAGGCAGCGGCATATATTATTCGTTGCTGTCGCACCCGCTGAGTTATCCGGGAAGCAGTCTACTAATATCGTCGAGTTGATGTTGAATATGGCCGTTGCAGTAGATGCAATAATAAATTGCAGACCCAGGGATGCAACCAGATTTCCAGCAAAGTGTCTCCTGAGATCGTTGAACTCATAGCTGGGCCCGTATAGTGCCATTGAAACAATGAAAATAACGCTGAAATAAGGCATCAGCGACATTCGGGCACGTTCGAAGGGGAAGTCGTGTAGGGACTTGACATTAACGTCGGCGAGTCCATGCTCCTCTTTATATCGAGTCTCGGCGCGTTTGAAAGCTCGATCCATCAAACAACCAGTGGATACCGACCCAAATACACATCCGATTCCATTTGGAAGAAAGCAGAGGCCCACCTGCCATGGAGTAAGATCGGGGAAAGTCTTGAGTAGCACTGTAGTGGTTGAGGATGTGACCATACTCCAGATGGTATATACAAGAGCACCCCAGGAAAGAAGAACTAGTATATCCATCCTCAGGAAATAACTCAACGGCTCAATGATTGTCCTCCAAGAAAGCTTCTCTAGCTCTGGTGCTGGCGGTATAGGTGCATTACGCCATTCCTTCGGTGGTTTGAAGTAGTAGGACCAGGGTTTGTACCGGCCTCCGAGAGGAACGTCGCCGTTACCAGCTATTCTCCGCTGTGTCTCTGGCAGAAATACCAATAACCCCAGGAGGACCAAAGCGCTAAAGACAAACAGGAACCAGAATATACTTCTGAATCCCCATGCACTATTCAACAGTCCACCAATAACAGGACCTATAGCCTGGCCTATCATTCTGTGCCACACTGGTTATTAAAAAGTCTCTATAGCTGTAGAGATATTCATACCTTATTCCGGCATTGGTTCCCATGAAACCTGCTCTCTCATCGGGTTCTGCTATATCGGCAATCACACCAGTGCTGATGCTAATTGTCGCAGCCGATCCCGCGGCCTGCAATCCTCGTAAGACTACAAGCATGGCCAGGTTGGATGTGAAAGCTAGCGATACATTTGCGGCGAGGTAGACTACTAGGGCGATAACGAATGTAATTCGGCGACCACGCAGGTCTGAGATAGAGCCATACAGTGAGGGAGCAATTCCTTGAACAATCATATACACTGTGATAGTGAAACCAACGTCTGTGGCGCTGACACCAAGGTCTTTGGATATTGTATCGATTGCCGGGAAGTAAATGTTGGATGACAAGGCGGAAAACGCTCCACCTACAGACACCATGTACACAGTCATCCACTTTCTGTGCTTTGAGAAGATATGGCGTGGTCGTTCGGGTCCCTCAGGCACTTGTGGATGCACCTCTGCATCCCTGTCGCCTCCTGTATATGGCTGAAGCTCAACATCTGTCCCAGACTCAGAGTGAGCCACAGTTGGTATTAGTGTGCCATTGTTTGGGGTATAAGGCGGTGATGAAGATGCTGGCGTTGAAGGGAAGGGCCTCATGTTTTCATCAGATTGGCGGCGACCAATCCTGTTAAAATTGGGCTTGGATAAAGCAGTATTTGGTAGAGGTAGTGGGAAGGGAAGGGCAAAGTGAGATTGGACATGGACTTCTGCCGATTGATGTATGAATTAACAGATCTCATGATTTACTGTCTTCTACTATTTAACCTTACGCGAGACCCTTGTAGTAAAGGGACTATTGATGATAAATTGATACGCGCTTTCTCACAGCAACCTGTCTCACCTCACCATTGTGCATGCTTGATTGGATCACCGACAGCAAGATGTTGATCCCTATCCACTAAAATCATCGACACAGCACTGCCATTCTGGATGCACGTGCCCGTCCGCCATGATTCATTGAGGTACACTCCCGAGCATGACTGAACACAAGACGCGTCATGAGCACGGCACAACACAGTCTTGGGTATTTCAGGGGCTGAGTATACACCTTTCCTTGACAACGTAAGTTATGTATGCCTACTGGCAAGAGACAGATGTTACCTAAATCAGTTGAGCCCCCCTCCCTTAGCACCGGGCGTTTTAACTAAAGATAGAGTTTACTGATAAGGTAAGAGGCTTACGCATTCTTGAGCGTCATAGCACTATGTCAACCCCAGGATATGCATAGCTAAGTACTACCGAGCCGTCCCGGAAATTACCGTTCCCGGCTAGAAAGCCTGTTACAGAGCATGAATGATTATATCACACTATGTTAACCTATGGGTGTTGGCAAAAGGCTTGCTTTAGCTACTACAGCAGCACATTACCTGATTGAAATATATAAGAAATCCATTTTCCCAGAGTGCATTAACGTTCTAATACTTGAGAAGCTTATATATTAGTCAGTTATTTATATATAATTGAGATCCTGGTACACAGTAAGGCAAAGTAAAGCCTTTATATAATGCTAAGCACCTGCACTTTACTATACAGTATACGAATATAGAAACAGACCCGTAAGCTTATCCAAAAGCCAAGTTGTTACTTATTAGCTATTGGTCTCTGAAATGGATCTGGAACTGTTGCCAAGACCGCGTAAGCTCTCACAGGGCGGACTAGCCTTGAAATAAAATAAAACCCATAAACTATGCCGTTATCGGTTAGAGATGGCATGTTTCAGAGCGGTATATCGGCAATCCGGCACAGGTGGGCGTCGATCCCCACCCTGCGTGACAGTCAATTGGTACACGGGAGCCGCATGTACTGGGCTTCGACTAATATTAGTGACAACATCTATTGTATCTTTTAGAGGACTGAGAGCGCTTACGCGGCCTCGGCGCAGCATGTTACATCTTATATTTGTCTATGCAGTAAGCCTGCAACCTGGACTGAAGATTCACTTACCAATTAACTTGACTTCCCTTCGTGTGTACCTGCGAGATACGTTACACATGGGACAGCACTTTGTTGATGTTTGTACAAGAAAGAAAAGGCTGGAAACCAACAGTATGTTTTGTTAGAGCCCGCAGCCGATAAGAAACTGTAAATTTGGATCATGAAGGGCAATCAAACCCCACGACATGACTTGGAGTCCTCTGTCGAGTATTTTCATTTTGACAGCCCATTGGATCGAGGATACGATAATCTAGCGGACGGGTCTGAGCCTCTGGATAACAATGTTTCAGTACCAAGACGACGGGCCTTGCACTTCAAAGGCTTGGGAGCATCGAAGTTGCCCCATCTTCGAATTATTCAGTTTCGAAGAAAGCTTCGGAGAGCCTTCTGCCTGTTGATTATTGGCTATCTCTCCATGACGTGAGTCCTGCGATTCCCTTGGCAAGTCAGACCAGACTCTAGAGAGGCATGCTAATCAGAAAGCTCGATATGGATAGTGGTCTCTTCCATATCCTGGGGGGTACCTTGCATCATTACTTCCCGGACGAAATGGACCTGATCGTTCACCCATGGCTCGACGCGGCCGCAGCAACAATTGGTGTTGGGCACTGGCTATCCGACTCAACAATGGCCACACAACCTGTGCGCTGCCATTCACACAACGATTATTTGAGAACCGTGCCCCTTCTAGATGCCATTTCTGCGGGCTGTCCAAGTGTTGAAGCCGACGTGTGGAATGAAGATGATGACCTATATGTGGCCCATCGTCATTTCCAGCTAGAGGCCAACCATACGCTGGAGAGCTTGTATCTCAACCCACTACTCGGTATTTTCGACCGCCAAAGAGACACCTTCTCATGTGGACAAGAGGTGCCTTGTCACTCCACCTCAACTGTGGATGAGCCTTTCGCTGGAGTTTTCGAAGCTGATCCGGATCGGCCGCTGGTCATCCTCATCGATTTCAAGACAGAAGGTAACGCTACCTGGGAAAAACTTCAAGGACAACTCGAGCCGCTTCGACGCAGAAAGTTACTCACGCATTTCAACGGTACAGCTGTTGTGCCTGGCCCCGTAGTGATTGTTGGCACTGGAAATACACCATTTGATAAGATAACAGCAAACAACACCTACCGTGATGTCTTTTATGACGCGCCATTGGATCTATTAGCTGATACGTCTCAAATCTGGCCAAATCCAAACAGAGCCCAAGTTCAAAACGCTCAACTACCGGATAACTGTATCGAGCAAGGGGTATTGCCGAGTAGCATTGAACGAAGACACCTAAAGGCGGAAGGAAGCAAGATCTCGGAGAAATACAACTCTCACAACAGCTACTATGCTTCTGCTCATTTCAAAAAAGCAGTTGGGCACGTTTGGGGTTCGCGATTGTCGCAGGAGCAGCTGCAGCGCATTCGGGCCCAGATTCATGGGGCTCATCGATTGGGTCTGAAGGCCAGATATTTCAGTGTGCCAGCATGGCCTATTGGGCTGAGGAATCACATTTGGCATATTCTAACACGAGAGGGCGTGGATGTACTCAGTGTTGATGACTTACGACAGGCAACTACATGGGATTGGAGGAAGAAGAAGGGTCTGTTCTTTTAGCCCTTTTCGTATGTACATTTAGTCAATATCATGAGCCATCTCTTCAGTGCTTTATCTTGACAAAGAAATCGTGATTCAGCTTTCGTCTCACTGCAATAATGGCTTGCGTCCATAAACATATCGAACCCTCATGTACGTGTGGATCCTGGGATTTCTGATAGCTTTGCGAATGCTCATCAGGAACAGCTGGTACTCATCCTTGGGCCACTTTAGGACGTCATTCCACATCATGGTAGTATATCCTACGGGAAAGTGTTAGCTGATAGACAGGTGAAGAGCAAGAGGCCTCAATTTGCCTTCAATATCATTTTCCAGACAAGCGCGAACAAATCTCCCAACCTCGGCGAGCTTAGAATCTTTTGGCCAATCGCCAACCGGAATCTGGGTACTTGTCAATAGTCTACCACTTTAATTTCAACTTCTTGCAGCAATCACCTTGTAGTCAACAGTCGTGATGTCCTCAAAGCCGGCGTCTTTAAACCCTTGAACCTGTTGGTCATAAACAAAGAAGGGATTTCCGAGGATCTTTCCTCCTTCTTCGAACAGCTTCTTATATATCTTGAGATTTGGCTCTTTGTCGATGGTGCCGTCATCGCAACGAAACTCGACATCAGCTTCAGCGGATTGAACCCAGCCTCCAGGGACACAGCAGCGGTAGGCCTCAGAGAACATGGCAGACCAGTCTTTAATAGCGCCGAAGATGTAACGGATATGAATAAAGTCGAACTCATCAGGTCCCCATGTCCACTCAAGGGCTGCATCATCTATTTCGAAGCGAACGTTTGGCGGAACCCATTCTGGCTGACATGGGGAGAGGTCGGTGCCAACAATCTCGACATTCGGATGACGGTCAGCGAATTCACTAAATCGGTCAGTGAGTGGATTTCATAGAGACCAAGAATGTGTGTACATGGCCCAGATACCTGATTCAGCGTGTCAATAGTGCACGAGAGAGATTTGTCTGAGATGACTTACCAGTTCCAGTGCCTACGTCAAGCACTTTCTAGCAAAGCACCAAGCGGTCAGTAATACAATCATTGCAGCCCTTCTTGGAACGGGAGAACCAACTTTAATATTATCTTCTTCTAAAGGAGGCAGAAACAGCTTGTCATCCAACAAGATTGTCAAATAGTGGTGACTACGAAAGATCAGAGCGAGAACAATAGTTTCGGGTCACAAGGGCCATACGTCAAGTCCACAGACTCAAGCTGTTGATCGTCATTGGGCAAGAAGTAGTTGGTGGTAAATTTATCGCTGTGATAAGTGCGACCTTGACTGCGACGATATTCGAGGATACTGGCCGAGACTGAAGCAGTCGAGCTTTCTCTAGAGTTCCAAGAAATTAGCGTTTCGTCACTTTTGGATATGTAATTTGAAGGGATAACTAACGCATCTGTCCCAAGAGTGGAGTCGGCATCGTCTTCAACTTCATTGTCCTACAAAAACAGATGAGTTCGTGACTAAACCTCGATGAGGTATTTTATCACATACGTGCTCGTCGTTGGCGGCAATAAGATCTGTCTGTTGCGGCGGTGAGACTGAAGCGGGTGATGATGGTGTTTCTGCCGGGTTTGGCGATTGCGCTGTTTGATCTGCCATGGTGACTGGAATAATTTAAAGTTAAGTGTCTGGGCTAGTTATTCGACGCCATTGAACTTGAGGCGGATGAGGATGAGGGGCGATCTGAGATCGGCATGGGTCTGTAACACGTGACGTACAAGGGAATGCGACAAGATGTTACAAATTTGGTATTACGTACTGTGGATACTACTGTGATCTCGTCTACCTGATGAATCAATATTGCCATTATCGGTCATCTTCATCCTCGGCAATCCAATAGGCCTCCACTTCAGCGATACAAGTCCTTGCTCCAGGTGTAACAGCAATAGGGAAGCCGCCATAATCGGGATCATCGTTGGGCATCATCATGAATTCGCCGTGCCTCGTCTCGTCTCCATTCAAGATTCTCAAAGTCTGAAGGTTCCCGTTTCCGTCAACCTCCTTCTCCTCGCCCCAAAGGATCCCACCAAAGGTCGCATCCTTACGAGCTGCTTTGAATCGGGCGTGGAAGCCCCGGCCAACGAGCAGAAATTTGGAGTTGCCCAAGTGAATAATCATCCCAGCACCGGGGCCAGGCTTTCCAAAGACAAAACAGCGCTCAACAATGACCTTGATGTCGCCGAACGTGCGAGTCCACTGTTCCGGCTTCTTCTCGCTTGGCTCCTCGTCAAAATAGAAGCCAAAGCGATCTTCGGGTGCAGCATCAAGGAGAAATTGCTTGGTCTGGTCCAGAAGCTTAAACTCGCGGCCAATAATGCCAGAGCCAGTATCGATGCCAAAGGGACTTGCCCCAAGAGCGCCGTAAGTCGCGTAGGATAACCAGACGCGTCGCGCTCCACATTCATCGCGTCTCTGTTCAGGGATAAAGAGAGTATTTCCTTGTTCTGTATAATTGCGACAGACAGTTTCGTAGTCGTGAAAGTAAAGATCCGGAGCTAGGAGGTCCAGAGAGGGCGTGTTAAATCGCCAGATATCCAAAACATGCGGGCAAGGACCTCCAGATGGGTAAATTCCAGGCTTGTCACCGCCACCAACCACAACTGGCGCGCCTCCACCAAAGTCCAGCTCGGACTGTCCTTCAATGTTAAGCCATGTGTTTGTGTACAAAGGGATAGGATACTCGGCCTTTCCTGCTGCGGCAACGCGTCCCACGTAAGAGGAGATTAAATGCGCCATGAAGGCCTCATCGGCTGCTGCCCCGGGTCCGAAAATGGACTTCCAGGAATGAGTACCTGATGAAGGAACACTTGAGATTCGTTTCTTGAATCTTGAGTGGGTGTCGACGCGGCTCAGATACTGTAGAAGATCGCTTGGAATGGGTTCAGCAAAGGCTTTGTTAGCTCGATGCGATCGATCCCGAGAATCTCCGAGGACTCCGGTCTCATTCTGAACTTGAACCATCAAAACAATCTGGTGCTGCGAATCAACTTCTGCAAGATGTCGTAACAGGGCAGCAAAAGCTCGAGAATCCGCTTCGCACGCGGCTTCACATAGAGGAGTAATCATCTCGAGTGTCCTCTTGACGCCACCAGCTTCAAGAACTTGAACTCGTGGGAATCGCTTGGGATCCCTCTTGACCCATCCTGGGGCATATGTTGAGAGACCGTTCTTGTATGTTCCGAACCAGAGCAGAACGAGGTGCATATCGTGCTCTCTGGCGCCTTTCAGGACCAAATCAAGCTCAGTGAAGTTAAAGTGGCCTTCCTTGGGTTCAATCATTTCCCATGTTACCGAACCGAGCAATGTGTTAATATGATCGGATTTCATTTTTGGCCATACTTCACTCATGAACTTGGCGGAACTGAGGGATGAGTTGTGTAGCTCGCCGGGAAGCATCAAGAAGGGTTTCCCTTTGACGATGAGTTGAACTGAACCCTTGTCAGATCGCCTAAGATGAGGGTAGGCATGCTGGGTTGGTACTGTTGGGACTTGTGTGGCAGTCATGCTTGTAGGGTATCAAAAGATGAAAGTCTATACGTTGATAAAGATGAAATCGATTGTAATATCGAATCGTAGATGATTCAAATACCTTCTGTATTTCCCAAAGTGCATAAACTGGAGTGTAGGGTTAGTGGATCATGGGTTCCAGTGCGGAGCTCTAGCCAAGCTTGCAGGGATACTCGGACTTACTCCGCACTAACTCGGAAGAAACTGCACCGAGTCTCGGTGAAAAGCTGCGGATTCCTTGATTGTGGGGCAAATGCATCCGAAGTTGGGGTCGCATTGACTCAGTTCTGACGTTGTGATCTGATATCGGTTTTGGTATTGAGATCACGTATCTACCCTCAAAGGCGGAGTATCAAGCACACCAATTCCTTGCCAACAGTCTAGATCATCCAGCTTCCGAAGTAATCGCTCAAGTTTATTTCTCGCATCTCCTATCTCCACTTCCCCCACGCCGCTACCCAGCTGTTCGAGGTAGGCTGCTCCAATGTCCCGAATCTTGGGGACGAGGCTGCTGCCGTTGGCATCAAAGACAGCGCGGGGAAGGTGGTACAGGATCTCTAATAAGTCGTCTACAATTTTCTGGTGATCTTGTGCGCTTTTGTCTGTGGGACCGAATTTCTGAAGAATGTTGGAGCGAATGTTGAGGCTTGTCACAAATAAATTGGCGATTTGAACGTCATGTCCTTCTGTGACGTTAGCCGGACGGGACAGACCACCACGCCACCGTAACTCGGGCGGGAGATTATCCAGAACTTGTTGAATCTTTGCAAGATATCTCGTGATAGTCATTTGTGGTTCCGTACCCTCGGGAACTTGCTGCACCTCTTGCCAGATGAGAAACAAGTCGCTTAGCGAGTTTAGTCCTGGAACATAAGTGGTGTCATCTCCATGCCAAGGTGGCTCGTGACAGCTGTTTGGCGCTTTTGGTTCCATCTGGTTATCTGAAAAAGGGAGCGGCCTTGGAAAAGTCTCGATGCGATCTTGACTGAGTAGACTGATGGGTAGTCTTCCGAAAATATCCGCACTACTGGAATATGTGACCTGATTAGCGCGGCTCGAGCCATCCACTGCAAGTGCCGATACATACCACGCACTAGCAAATAACAGCCAGATTAGTCTTCTCAAGAGCTGCTGTTCAGCCTCATCATGCTCGTGTATCCGATAATATGCCAGGTACCTGGCCCCTGCAGCTGCCTCGCTCAATGCGTGATAGGCGCGCATGCTGCTCAACCCCGATTTCGTGGTGGCGCTCATGGCTGTCCCGATATTGTACAAGGCGATGCACCTGTCCATGCTAAAAGAGTCTCGGGTAAATTGACTCTTGAGTAGTCCGTGAGCATCAAGGAAGTCAACGCAATAATCTACAGTCACTGGTCCATAGTCACCCCGCGGCAGTGTCGCTTTGGTAGCTGCGCATACGCTGATGACAAGCCCACAGAACTCGGCATCAACGTCAGCTACCCCTTGCTGAAGGCGCTGGAGGAATCGGCGACGGAGTAAGATCGGAGCTAGAGGGTGGATCACATTGAACCAGTCCCACAGCAGACGCATAATGATCGGCTCCGGGGCAAATGCGGAAAGCCATTTGCTGCTGAGTCCTGAGCAGATACAAGTCGCGGAACGGTTCATATGGCCCAGAGCCTCTGGACTTTGCAGTGGTGTTGTTGATTGACAGCCATTGTTGCTTTCGCTTGATGAGATGGAAACGTTGTTTGGAGAAAGGATTCCCGGTGACCCTATAATCTGCCTTGAAGCTCTTTGTGCATGTCTGCCCTGTGTCAGTATACTGATACCATTAGCAACATACAATGAACTGACTTATTTGGAGGCCCACGCTTCCTTCTTGGACGTTCATGGGTACAGTTGACGTCTAGAAACTCGCAGCCTCGGCATCGCTGACAGTTAGCATCGTACGTGCACTACCAATATTGTTAGCATCTAGGTACACAGTGACGCTATGAACGCCTTAAGGTTGCCCAACCCGGATTTTCCTTGCCCTACAGACATCACAAGCTGCTTGGTTCCGAGACCGCTGTCCCGAATTTGCTGTTGATGCACCAGCGGTGACAGAAGCAGGGGCACTCTCGCTTGGGTCAGCCATTGAAGGATTTACTGCGGCGTAACAGGGTGAGGGTTTCTCTGCGTAGAATCGACTGGCAAAAAGAACGAGATAGTCCGAGGAGAATATTCGGATCACCTCCTCTCTTTTAGACTCTCCTGCGTGGACCAGTTCGCCGAATTGTCGGATATACCTCAGCAGCCTTTGCCCGAACAAGAATGGTTCGACCGCTGGTGGTGGTCGAGCTCAGACATGCTTGTCCAATCAATGCCACCGATGCGGTGGATCACTCATGACAGCTTAACCTGTTGTGATTTAGTCTCCTAAACAAACTTCTCAACCTTGTCTTCCCCACGGGGAGAGTTGGAAAAGCATACCGAATCCATACCATCCAAGGACCATGATGCATGGCTGTGACTTACTGTCACGAGAACTCATGGCTTGATCTTTGGCTAGGTAGTATGTGGCTGTCAAGTGTAGAAATTCATGCCAGATACTTCCTTGCCCTGGATATATAACCCGTCAGGGAAGCAGCCAAGATCATCCCTTGATCAACAGGTGCTTCAGCTCCAGATCTCTTGACCAATTGGCACCTCCATCAACACTCTGGCCCATCATGACCTCAAAGGAGACCGATGTCGACATCACAGAGGAGAATCATGCTCCTCAAGGCTCACCATTGCCTTTCTGGAAACAGACTGAGCTGAGAAAGCTGTACCTTATGATGGTATTTCTTTTCATGGGTTCGACCACCCTCGGCTATGACTCTAGCTTGCTGAACGGTCTTCAGACAATGGGATCGTGGCAGACATGTAATAATTTCCTTGGACCTCAATGCTACTCCCAGCTGACATGATGGTATAGTTTTTGATCACCCAGAAGGAAGTCGACTAGGTATCTTTGGCGCCATGCCCGGTTTCGGAGGTCTCTTTGTCCTCCTCTTCGCTCCATATGTCGCCGACGGACTGGGCCGAAAGAAAGGCACGGCTATTGGCTGCATCATCGTTATCGTTGGAGCCCTCATGCAATGCTTTCCTCAAAAGGGTCACGGACCGCGACGCGATGCGCTATACCTCGTCGGCCGATTCATCATGGGCTGTGGCTCCAACATTTCCAACGCGACTTGTCCTCTCCTCATCACCGAGATCGCCCATCCCCGCCACCGAGGCAAGATCACGACCGTTTATAACACGCTTTGGTATCTCGGTAGCATCATTGCAGCGTGGGTATGCTTTGGAACTCTGAGAAATCAGACTGGAAACCTTCAATGGGTTCTTCCAACAGGATTGCAGTGCCTCATGCCTGGCATCCAGCTTTTGGCCATATTCATTGTCCCCGAGAGCCCCCGATGGTTGATCAGTAAAGGACGCGAGGAGGAAGCACGCAAGATTCTTGTCAAGTACCATGGCAACGGCGACGATAACGATGAGTTTGTCACATGGGAATACACCGAAATTGTCAACACTATTAGACTTGAGCGTGAGTCTTCGGATAATGGATGGGCAGAGCTTTGGCGCACCCCAGGTAACCGCAAGCGATGCGGGCTGATTATTGCTACTGCTATCTTCTCCCAGTGCAGTGGTAACGGTCTTGTCTCATACTATGTAAGTGGAATCAAGGATGAGAGGCTTCTGAGAGTGTAAACTGACTTTAACCGTAGCTCGCCGCCATTCTGAAAACTATCGGCATTACGGAGTAAGTGAACATCTATGCAAAATTGCCATCAAGAGATACTAACAGGTTCTAGTGCTGTCACTCAGGCATACATCAACGGTGGTCTCACGATTTGGTGCTGGCTCGTCTCCCTCGTCGCCGCCTTCTTTGTCGATCGCGTGGGACGAAGGGTTCTCTTTCTCTTCGCTGGCGTCGGCATGCTCATATCCTTCACCATCTGGACTGCATGCAGCGCTGTCTACGCAAAGACCGAATCGTCAGCTGCGGGTATTGCCGTTGTCGCCATGATCTTCCTCTTCTACGGCGTGGCCGGTGCTGCATGGCCAGGCCTGACTGTATCCTATACTGTTGAGATTCTGCCATATAATATCAGGGCCAAGGGACTTACGCTCTGCTTCTGCTTTACAGCTCTCTCAGGGGTCTTCAACCAGTGGGTGAATCCTCTTGGCTTGCAGCAGCTTGCATGGAAGTTTTACTTTGTTTATATAGTCATGTAAGTCACTACTCACTTGCTTCAACGCGTTGGCTGGACTAATATCGCTTTACAGCCTGGTTATTGAGTGTGTCGTGATCTACTTCTTCTTCGTCGAGACAAAGGGCCCTACTCTGGAAGAGATTGCCGTTCTATTCGATGGCCAAAATTCTGCTGCTGGCATCGCCAAAAGTCAAGCCCAGATGAAGAGAGCAATTACGGAAGTCGAAAATGCTTAGGCTTTCTGATGGGCCCGAATAGTATTGATGAGGCAGAGATGTGTTCATCTATGCAGGTGCAGCTAGTCTTTGTTGACGGTATTTATAGTATGAAGCTTTGGTCCAACCTCCTGTACCTGCACCATGACTTATGAGATGGCAATACGGACTGAAATAGATCCCTTCTTCGTTTGGACTACAATCAAATCATGATCGTATGTGATATCTTCGATCGTTGTATCATATAGACGCGCCCTGGGTATAACTCGAAAAGCGAGCAAAGCTGCCATGATATAGACTTCGCAATAAGCGAGACTTGAAAAGTCGTTAATATAGAACGGGTAGATAATTAAACGGCAACTTACTTTTCACCGATGCATGCTCGGCTACCCTTACCAAAGGCAATCAAGAGCTTCTGTAGTTTGAAGTTAGGCTTCCCTCCCTCCAACCATCTCTCTGGTGTAAACTCGTCCGGTTTGGGGAAAATTTCCTCATCCCAGTGATTGATCATTGAAGTCATACCAATGGGAGTGCCTTTGGGAATAACCCACTCAACGCTACCATCCTTGCTTTTGTAGACCAAGTCTTCTTCGCGGGCAATCCTGGCTGAACGGTGGGATACACCAGGCATTACACGAAGGGCTTCGTGGATGACGGCCCAGAGGTAAGGACGTTGCTCGAGTTCGGTCCACTTGACTGTTTTCGGATCGATCACTTCGAGATCGGCCATCAATCGTTGATATGTCAGTGGCTGAGCGAGCAGGTAGTAGGTGATAGCCGTCAGAATGGCCTGTTGAAACTTATGAGTACCGCTGTCGCATTGAAGATAAAGAGCAACGACTTACAGCAGTAGTCTCGGTCCCGGCCAAGAGGAAATTGAAACCCTCTCCCGATAGCCGATACATAGATTTCTCTGACTCAGGTAGTGATTTGGACTCCATCACGTCAGCAAAAACTCGTCCTCCCTCGGGATTCTTTAAAGCAGCTGTGATGTACCCAGGAATCACGACATTCATCTGTCTCATGACTGCTTTAATATCCTCGCCTAAGTAGTCAGATAAAAACGGAAGAAGCTGGGCCACCTTCCTTGCGAAGACATTATGTCTCATCATGTAGGCACTCTGGAAGAAAGACTTGACCCAAGTAGCCAGATTCGGCTCCCAACCATCTTGAGCGATGAAGCCCATGGATTCACCAAAAGCGTACTGCGACATTATATCCGCAGTAAAGCAGTTGAAGGCTTCCTTCACATCAAAGGGCTCTCCACCAGCGTATCGAAGCATCTTGTCGACAATCATCTGTGCAAACTCTTTGACCTCACCCTCAAGCTTGAGCATCTGCTGACGAGAGAAATACTTGGACAAGGCTCCTTTCCTCATGCGATGAACTTCGTGATTGACTGTTGAGAAACCAGTTACGGAAACGGGACCGGCGCCCCCCGTGTTTAGCTGGTGCTTCCATTTATCGCGGATTCGCCCAGGGCCAGCGTAGATCTCGTCTGTGAAGTACGGGTCCGAGCAGTGTAGTTCATCCGGGTTTATTCGCACAATTGGGCCTGTATCATATTAGCAATCAGATTGTGTGGGACAGAACTCTTATACCTACCATAACGCTCGTGCATGCGACGGATTTCGTGTCCATATCGTCCTACCCGCCACCAGTCATGATATGCCTCGTACAAATAGCTTGCTGCAGCAATCTTGGGCCCAGGAAAGCAGTACAAAGGATGCAATGGCGATATATTGTAAAGTGCCAGTACCATACGATATCCAAGGCAAATGACAGCCAAATACGCAACAGTCTGGAACACAACGGTGACTGTAACATCAGCTGGCGGCAACATTAATTTTTGCTCCATGCTGACGAGAATTTGAAAGATGAAAATGGGAGTAAGCAGGAACTGCACTGACTGGAGGGGCTTTATCACCGACAGAATGGATTTGAGATTCAAGAGGTCCCATTTTTATGCCTGGAAATGGGGCAGCGTTTCACTCAACGATCGGCCATCGGCTGTATCTATACACTTCGAGTTAAGTAGTCCGAGCTCCCCTGTAAACTTGTGGAGTGATGAATCCTTCAGATCTTTGAAGTTGAAGAGTTTTCACTGTTGTAGAGGTAAAGGGGATTATTAATATTAAATGTAAGGTATCTAATGGAGTGTCATAATATAAGACGTATTATATCTAATAATTTAAATGCAGCTTTTAGATAGATTTACGGATCGGGTAAGGGATAGAGTGAGAATAAAGGAGTAGTAACAAAAGAATAGAGAAATGACCACGGCCATGACCGATACCAAGCAAAATAATCCCACTAACTGCATAAAGGTTGTTGAGGCTACCAGCTAGGAGCTACAATAACCTCGATTGCAATATTGGACCGATCATCTCTGGCAGCTTCCAAGGGCTAAGATCAGGCACGTATAGCCGCGTCATAATCATTGTTTGCTGAAGTTCCGGTCATGGAACTAAATCCGGTACAGGACCCTGTAGCCCTTTCGTATTGGACAGCAACGCAGGAAGAATAAACAGCGCAGAAATATATGCACTGGTTGAAACTAGATGCCGGAGCTGTTCCCACTGAACTACCGCCGGTGATAACGGTGTTACAGGAGAGATCAAAGTTGACACCCTGTTCAGTGTACGGACTGCTTGCGGCTTCGCACTCACTCTGCGGTGCTGCCGTAGTTGTAGTCGTCACAAGTTCTGTAGTAGTAGTGCTGCCCTCTGCAGTGGTAGTTATGATTTCTGTTGAAGACTCTAAGCTTGTTGTCGATGAGTCTGTAGTTGTCTCTTCAGCACTTGTGGACGTATCTGAGCTGGCTGAACTAGCGGGCTCTGATAAGGTCTCCTGTGACGAGGTCTCTTGTGACGAGGTCTCTTGTGACGGGGTCTCCGATGTCGAGCCAAAAGTCGCAGAGGTCGTATCGGTTGGCTTATTTGAAGTGGTTGCGAGCAGACTTGATTCATCCTGTTCAGTGGACGACGATACCTCAGTACTTGAGTCGCTGGAGAGAATGGATGACTCGATGGTGGTTGAGGACTTAATAAACTCAGAAGAAATAATAGTTGATGATACGACACCGAATGTCTGCGTTTTTGTTTCTGTCTGCGTCTCCGTCTGCGAGGTAGATGTATCCACAGTCTCAGAGCCGATTGTGGAAGCTCCAAAACCAAAGGTTGAAGTAGATGAACTAATAGCTTGGGAAGAAACGGTAGAGATTGCCCCAGTATTAGTCACGGAAGAAGAGGCTGGAGTAGATGTCTCGTCAGTCTGGTAAGAAATGGTGGATGATACAGAGCCGAATAATGGCGAAGAGGCAAAAGCTGAGGTATCGACATTCTGGGGGGAAGCGGCGGTAAACGCTTCGGAACTAGATGTTTTGGGAGGGGAACTACTTGGCTCAGCAGAGCTAGGAGGATTAAACTCTGTAGTTACAGTCGCTTCTGCCGTTGTAGTCTCTTGGGTACTGGAAATTCCGGAACTAGGAGTCTCAGGGGTGCTTGTGCTTATCTCTGGTATGCTTGTCTCAGCTGTCTCAGCTGCGCTTGTCTCGGTTGGGATTGCCAAAGCAGAGGTCGAAGTGTCGAAACCCAAAAGCCGACCATTTTGGCATTGAATAACTGCATCCAAATTAGCAATTGATATTGTAAAGTCACAGGTTTTCTCACCGTCGTAGACTCTCAGCGTAACTGGGATACATCCAGGAGGACTAGCAGTAAAGGTCATGTAGACTTGACCGCTAGTGTCCTGACAGAAACCTGCCTCGCCATTTGGTAGGCCTGGATTTCTAAAGAAAAGCGTTTGGCCAGAAGTTCCAAAGGTTTTAGTGATAGCGCCCTGGACAAAGGAGTCTTCGTCTTGGATGCCCAGTGTCTTGTAATCCTCACCAGCGTAGAATGTTGGTAAGCCATCAATAAAGAGCTGACCTCCGCCCAAGCTGAAGGTCAAAGCAAAGGTGCAAACGTCCGGGTTATCAGCGCCAACAAATCCGCCCAAGTCTCGTTTCTCAATATCGCGCTTCTGATTGCTGGGTGCCTGGACGAGGAAGATGACAGATCGAACAGGTGGTTCGACGATACCGGTAGAGGTAGCAAGGGCGGAGGAGGTTATGTCAGTTGTAGGTAGTGAAGTGGAGTCGATTGGCTCGGTCAAGGATCCGGGGGTTGCACCGGACGATGGTGCCTCAGAATCAGTTTGTGTGTCGGTGGGTGCTATATCCAAAGTAGTGAAGCCGAACGTTGTTCCAGGTTCCGAGGAAATTATGCCCTGATCATTCGTGTCTGTCACATTTTCAGCACTCGGTCAATGCGAATGTATTAAGTTTCAAGAATTCTTACTAGAGGCTATTGCTGTTGCGGTTGAACCGTTTCCGAAAAACGTCAAGTGTCTTGATGGCGATAATTCAGGCACTGCAGAAATCGGGGCGAGATAGGTAGACAGGTACGTAATGCAGAATGTGTCCATTACCATCGAAGGGTATTCGGCTGCCGAAGCTATGCCTGCAGATCCCAAAAGAGTCGCTGTAAATGTATTGCCCTTCATGTTTTTATAGTGTATAGAAATTTTATAACATTTAATAAACAGCAATGACCCAGGTAAGAAATTGCCAGGTTTTTAAGAAGAAGGCCAGTAGGGAATATCCTATCCCTGATATTCACCATTAAAATTACTTTCAAACACTGCACTAATTTCAATCTATACATGTCTGACTGGAACATTTATAGGGGCAGCTGGTATGCTGTGTAAAGTGTAGTTATAAGAGTGTTATCTCTAGTTATTAGACCTAGTCTACTAGCTCATGCTTGTACCCCATGCCTTTCTTGCATATGTCTTAGATCGTCGATAGCCGAGCAATGTTCTACACAGCTCATGTCCTTGGTGGAGAGTGAGTGTCTCAGAGTATGACTATCTGATATAAGACATTCTATAAGTATAGATTATTTTAATCTTTTCTCCCTTGTAAACCGAGACCGGAGGAAAGTCCATAAGCTACAGTTCCCCCTTAAAAAGGGTTTAAAAATATTTAAATAATTGTCTGAATCTAAAGAGCTATTTTTACAAGTAGGGCTTGAAGTTTCCATAAAATTCAATTTATATTGCAGTCTGCGATGAAAGCTCCTTCGCCGAGAGCGGCCCGACCGACTCTCGTTATGGGGATTTGCAGAGGCAGTAGCGCGAGCGTCGAAAGTGCAAACTAGCCGGCCCACAAGGCCCGAGACCGTAGTAAGCCACAGTCGATGCCCACACATTCCTCTCAGACTGCACAAGATCACTTGTGTTCCCTTCGCATGGGTTTGGCGACTCAACTTTTACTTAGTACATGGCTACGATAATCGATTAGATGAAAGGACTGTTGGAACGACTAGCTAAATGCGCTAAAGTGAGCTGTGAGCACAACAATGAGGTTTTGAGAGACCTTGAATTAGTAATGTAGAAATGGCCAAGCCGAGGCTGCATAGCTTATTTTAGATAAGGGAAGTCAAGCTAAGATAAGCGTTTGGTCTGTAGATTTTCCAGCACCCTGTGCTCACCTGGATCGAAGTGGAAATTAGCATAAAGTTATCGGTGACGCGCGTCAGGAGGAAGAATGACCAGCGCTTCTCTGTTGTTCAAGACGCAGTGGCAAGTGCAGAACTATTAGGCTAATGATATAGATAAGATCGATGATGAGTTGACTAAAACACGCTCTCGTTTTGGTCCTTGGTAATGTGTTATTTTTACCGAGACGCCGAGATCTACCTGACTGTGTGGCAGAAGTCGATGGCATCATCAATCAATCTACGGAGTAGATGGTAATACTAGACCAGTTTTTAAGCGAGCTGGAGGCCGTTGGTCAGGCGTGCATGACCGCCGATGCTGCGGGTAAAAAAAGAAAAAGCGCACTAAACATCCATGTTATAGCAGTATAACTCACCGCCTCGCCGCTAGACTAGATGTCGTATCATGGAATCGATAGTGCGACAGACTATTGGGTACTTATCTTAGTACTTTTTCTGTAATCTTAAGTGACCAGCAGATTATAAATTGGCAGCGTTAAAAAACTCTTGTTTTTAATAATTAAAAATTGCTAAACCTCTAAATAATAAGCTCACTTTAATGCACAAAGCTGGCTATCGTAGCTTGGTTTATATAATATAGCAGTTATTAGAATAAAATATAAATAAATAAATAACTCTGTTTACCTGCAGTCTCGGAGATTGGTGAGATTTGCTTATATAGATCCTTGCTTTTGTGGCTGGCTGAAGTTTATTCTCTAACTTGAATAAGACAGCATTGCAGATCTTAAGACGTTCCCACCTGAAGGCTATCCCCAATATATGCCTAATCCTTCACTGTACCTGCAGATATTAGTGGAATCTAAGCTGAAAGAAGTAATCTATTGATAATCAAGTAAAAGAGATGAGTCCAGGTACTCAATTGAGCTCAGATCCCCCACTACAGGGCCAGCTAAGCAAGGAAAAGGGGAAACTAACTTACCAATGCGTTGGAAATCGTGTGTTGTTGAAATTTGCATAGCTGAATCCTATAAGAGTGGGTGTAAGCGCCCCGGCATGCGACCAGCTTGCGTACCTTCCGAGGTCTCTACTTTCGTTAACTGGCATTTCTCTGCTTTGTGTGGCTGTCGTCCCCAATCGCTTGCCGCTATGGACTCTGCTCTTATTCCTCTCGTCAAGAGCGCTGTCGGCACCGGATTCCTGCGATGAAATGGGCGGCACCTATACCGCTCCTGCCTACGAGTACAGTACTCAGTGCGATACTTCCCTAAATAACCCGGTTATCTATTCCACTTATTACCTGGGAGATACCTTTGCACAGTGTATAGGAAGATGCGACATCGACGACGATTGCAGTGCAGTGCTGTATCAGGACTTGAGCGGCAACTGTTATTTGGCTGCCGATTATACTTCTACCTCGTCATCAAGTAGCTACGATGTCGCGATAAAGGGAGCTGCGGCTTCTGAACCTGAGCCTACCACAACTACAACTGAAGCGTCCTCGATTGCCATAACAACTGAGGAGTCCACGGTCGCTTCAACTACAGAAGGAGCTTCAACAACAACTGAAGTGACTTCAGAAGCCTCAACTACTGGAGCAACCTCGGCAGCTACAACAACTAAAGTCTCTTCAATTGCTACAACAACAACTGAGGTGTCTTCGGTAGCGTCAACAACAACCGTAGCAACTTCGGAAGGTTCAACAACTGAGGTGTCCACGATCGGTTCAACAACCGAGGGATCTTCAGTTGTGTCAACTTCTGATGACTGCGACGAAACGGAAACAGAAACATCAACTGAAATACTTTCAACACTGACTACATCATCATCATTGTCAGAATCCACATCGGCTGTGGGTACCACTACTACAGACTCTGTATATGTTAGCACCACCTCAGAGGCGGCAACATCTTCCCAGGCATCAGTCTCTTCCGTCGAATCTACAACCGAGGCCTCAAACGTAAGCACTTTGGCAACCGTGAATACATCTCGAGGAACGCAATCGACTCTCAGCACTAGTAGCGGAATCACGACACATAAACAGTCTACTACAACCTCGGCTGAAACCCAGAGCTCTCCTGTCACAACTCTCCAAACATCAGAGCTTTCAACTTTGACCACGCTGGCTCGTCCTGCCTCTTTGTCTACCACGGAGACCCAGGCTGTCACATCAACAGCGAAGTCTGGTTCTACCACAAGCCAAGGTATCAGCCAAACAGCCTCCGCTTCCTCTGCATCCACCTATGTCTACGTCAACCCTGCTTCTGAGACACTTCCCGCCTCTGGTTCCACTATCAAGGCACCTTACCCCACTGGTTACACCATCCGAACTGTTTACCAGACTACGGCCGAGGGTATCACTTGCTCCAAGACTACATTTGCCGAGACGGTAACCACCGCCACATATCTTACTGTCGGACCAAGCCACTCTGCGCTTGTCACAACCTGCGTTCCAGTCACCCTTCTCTACAGCCCTTGCTACTGTGACCATGATGTGTACCCCTCTGTGGCTTTGACCACTATTGTCTCTCCTTGCAGCGCCTGTGGAGCTGAAGGGGAGAATACCGTCACCTTGACAGTCCCAGAGGCTGCTTGTGAGACCACAAGTGGAAGCCATAGCCACCCGATCGTCCAGTATCCTAGTGGCTGGACTGGAGGGTATGAGAATGCTAAAAACGGTAGTGGCTATCAAGAGACCCAGTACATAGCGAAGTCTCACGGACGACCACAAGAAAGCCCCCAACATACATACTCAAATGGTCAGCCTTCTATTCCTGCTCTAACTGAAGGAGTCTATAGCCACACGCAACCTGGCAACAATGGCCAGCCGTCTGCTTCTATCTCGGCTGCGGGATCACCAAGTACCTCGCAAGAGACTAAGGCTAGCTATCCTCAAGAATCAGCACAGCCTAAGACTGATAATAAACCTGATAGTTCAGGAGCCAGCAACACACAGGCTGTAGTTTGGATAATGGCTGAAGTAGTTGGAATAGTCTTACTTCTTAATTAAGACTCATGAATATGCTTCTCATGTTTCTCGCACATTTTAACGAACGCAAACAAAGTCAAGATGTAAGCATGGGACTCCCCACCACAGATAGTCTTGATAAGCTCCTTGTACTCAACCGAAATCTTGTATAGAACAGAGAGCTCAACCTTGATGTGAACTTCAAGAACAGTGATGTACTTCTCGTAGATCACACAGATGATCTCCTCAGTCCACTTGTATCCAGAGTTGTGGTGGCAGATGGTCTCCCACATGGTAACGCAGATGTTGCGGAGTTCTACCTACATGTTGCGGTGGTGGTAGTGGCGGCAGAGGCAGAGAGATGCTTCTAAGGCGTCGTGGTAGCAGTACTTGATGCCCTTGTTCAGGATGGTGACGATCTCGAGGTAGTGTGAGTATGTATCCTTGTGGCCGATGAGCTCGTAGTGACGAGCAAGGCAGTACAGATTCTTGATGGCCAAGTAGTGAGTGTGACACAGATGCTTCTTATACTTGGCTAGAATCTCGATGTAGATCTGGATCACCTTCTCGTGCCTGTGATGCTCATCGTAGAACTCAATGAGAACTATGAGTGACTCACACGTGACACAGCAGTTCATCTTCGAGCTTGCAAGAGGTAAGACAGGCATAGTAGATGCGCAGGTAGATGAGCCCAGCCTTCTCGAAGTGACCTTGGTGATGGTAGCACTTGGCCAGACGGCGGGCGACATGGACGTATACATAGATAGAGCGCTCGTAGAGGGTGATAGTAACATCGGTAGTGAGGATTGCCTTCTAAGTAATCTCAAGAGTTCGTTTAATGATGATCTTAGCCTAGGAACTATTAAGACGCGATTAGCTAGATATCATCTACTAAAATAAATAATTTCACTTAAAATTTAGACTTAAATTAAGTAACATTAAATTAAGTTACTAATTAGTTTAAATTAACCCTAACCCTATACTTAGGGTTAGCTAGTAGTAGCTTAAGGTTAGTATAATATAAAGGAAAAGGGACTTT